ATTCACAAAAGAATCAAGGTGGGAGAATCTAACAATATCAGTACAGGTGTCCTCTCTAGGCATTTCTGTGATCTGCCTGCACAACTCTAAGGTAAACTTCGTCCAGAAGTCAGTCTTTCCTTAGGCTTTTGTATAGTCCTGGGACATATCCTGTCCATTTACGGGATGGTTGGCACCACAGAGAGAGACCAGGGCCCAATGAGGAGGCCTGGGAAGGCTGTGGGCCTTCCGAAACTACAGCTTCCAAGATCCCATTGCCTTGAGCAGTATTGAACGTGGTATCAAAGTGTATTTATTCCCTGGTGTAGATGCTCTAATCGTCTATGGGTCCTGTCTGATTCTCTATTTTACGGGAAGACCCATTTACCTTCTTCCAGAAGAAGTCCTGCTGCACTGGGATGTCCAGCAAAGCGCCAATGGATCCTAAGCAGGACAGGGCCAGAGCCAGACCGAAGCCCTGCTTCATCCTCGTTCGTTGTGGGGAAAATATCGCAATGGGGAAGGAGGACCTCGTTGTTGACTTTATAGGATTTTCTGGTTCGAGTTTGTTCCAAGAATAAAAAGGGTGGGCGGAAAGAAGCCGTTGACCCTTTGAGATAATGCTGGGTCTCTCCTGGAGGAACATGTTGCTCTGGAACTCTTTGGAGAGAAAACAATGCTATGTACCGACATATCTCCAAAATCAATCATAGCGTTGGAGGTTCTACTTTTGCTGAAAAAGGATCAAATGCTCGGGGGCGTCTACATAGCAGAATGGATGGACATTGACACTGCCATGGCTCAAGGCAATGAGACCTTGGGGAAGGTAGCTTTACAAGGCCTTTAGCCTTCTAGTCTCCGCCGAAAAGGGCAAGCATCCAACCAAACTACAACTCCCAGGGTTCCATAGCATGGAGTCACGGTGGTGAAAGTGATGGCAAATTCCATTATTTCTACTGTGTCAATGTTGTCATCATTGTGGTGATGATTGTGTAGATACAACCAGAGAAAGTTAAAGGGCACCTCCCAAAATTCCATAGTGCTATCCATGGCCATAAGAAAGTGACAAACTGCATTAATTCTACAGTGTAGATGCTGTTAGATAGAAAATGCATTGGCAGTGAATGTTGCTTAAAATACAGTTCTAATTGACATGTGGTCACACACCTGCAGAATGATTGAGTGGTTGGTGATATATTACTTAAGGGACATGCTGAAAAGGCTGAGTTATGATCATGTGACACATTCATGACAAAGCGTTGCATCATTTATTTGTCCCTGGCTGATGACAAGCCAGCAGTGGATGTGAAAGAAAGCAGAAAGTGTGTGTTTTTTCTCTTGCCATGCTGTACACCTGTTGCCGATATCTGTTGCTTGTGAATCTGTTTGCCTACATCGTATCTTTCTGTATATGCCATTGACTTATTGTGGATCAGGTAAATCTGTGTAAATCTATGTATAGAGCAATATGTCAAGATTAAAAGTCTCCTGATATTTTGGATGAAAATTGAACCAATAAATTTTACTAAACAGTGTGCAGAAGGTCAGACATTGCGGTTATACTCTGCTGGTAAGATATTGCAGTTATACTCTGTTGGTTCAGATGGAATCCTTTCTTGTAGTTTGAGGCCATTGCTCCATTGCGTCCTAGTCTCCAGGGCAGCAGAAAACAAGCTTGCTCCCTCCTCCCTATGACTTCTTCTCATGTATTTATACATGGCTATCATGTCTCCTCAGCCTTCTCTTCTTCATGCTAAACATGCCCATCTCTTTAAGCCACTCCTCATAGGGCTTGTTCTCCAGACCCTTGATCCTTGTACAAGGATGGTGGAGCAGGAGGAGGCCTCTTTACCTCTGTTGCCACGCTGCTGGTCACTGTGATAGCGCCAGCAGAGAGGCCTCCTCCTGCTCCTCCGCCTTGGCTCAAGGCTCAGCGGTGTCACGAGGAGGCCACGGGGTACTCCAGTGGGCTTTGAGCCAGGAAGGGCCACCACCATATTGAGGGCATATTGGGTATTAATTTCCATCACTGTTTGGATTCACTGTGTTCTCCACATGTAGGTGAAATTCTATTACTGCTGCTGCTATTATTATTATTATTATTATTATTATTATTATTATTATTATTATTATCTTTATTTGTACCCCGCTAGAATCTCCCGAAGGACTCGATGCGGCTTACAAAGGCCAAGGCCTCAAAACATAACATAACAATACACAACCTAGAGCAAATCAAAAACAGTTAAAGCAATATTAAAACAACAAGCAATAAAACAATACACCAAGACACAATAAAATTGGGCCAGGCCAGAGTAATGGGTACAGATTAAAAGTGCTGATGTGACAGGTGATACGTAAGGATTATAGGGTAAGTGCAGTGTGCCGGCAATCTTAATTTCTAATAAAGTGCTTCTGGGACTTGTTATTGGAATTTTCCTATTCTGGAAAGGCACATCGGAACAGCCAGGTCTTCAAGTTCTTCCTAAAGACTGCCAATGTAGGGGCCTGTCTAAGATCTTTGGGGAGGGTGTTCCAGAGTCCGGGGGCCACCACAGAAAAGGCCCTGTCTCGCGTCCCCACCAAACGTGCCTGCAACGCAGGCGGAATCACGAGCAGGGCCTCTCCGGATGAACGAAGTGAGCGCATGGGTTCGTAGATGGAGATGCGGTCACACAGGTAGGATGGTCCCAAACCGTTTAGGGCTTTGTAAGTAAGCACCTGCACCTTAAATTGGGCTCGGAAAATAAACGGCAGCCAGTGGAGCTCCTTAAACAGGAGGGTTGACCTCTCTCTGTAAGGAGCACCAGTTAACATCCTGGCCGCCGCCCGTTGGACCAGCTGGAATTTCTGAGCCGTTTTCAAGGGCAGCCCCACGTAGAGCGAATTACAGTAGTCCAATCTAGAGGTGACCAAGGCATGGACCACCCTGGCCAAATCAGCCTTTGCAAGGTACGGTCACAGCTGGCGCACGAGTCTTAGTTGTGCAAAAGCCCTCCCAGACACCGCCGACGCCTGAGCTTCAAGCGTAAGCGATGAATCCAAGAGGACTCCCAAACTGCGGACCTGTGGCTTCAGGAGGAGTGTAACCCCGTCCAGCACAGGTTGCCACCCTATACCCCGATCAGGTTTATGATCAACCAGGAGGACCTATGTCTTGTCGGGATTGATCTTCAGCTTGTTCCTCCTCATCCAGATAGACACAGCGGCCAGGCACTCATCCAGCACCCGAGAGGCCTCCTTGGAGTTGGGTGGAAATGAGTAATAGAGTTGTGTGTCATCTGCATAGAGGTGGCACCTAACTCCAAAACTCTGGATGACCTCTCCCAGCGGTTTCATGTAGATGTTAAAGAGCATGGGAGACAAAATAGAGCCTTGCGGGACCCCACAGGTCAAAGGCCAGGGGTCCGAGCAGGCATTTCCCAGCTTCACCATCTGGGATTGACCCTCCAGGAAGGACTGGAGCCACAACAAAACTGTGCCCCGGAGACCCATCCCAGAGAGTCGACCCAGAAGGATACCATGATCGATGGTATCGAAAGCCGCTGAGATGTCCAAGAGAACCAACAAGGTCATACTCCCCTGTCCAGCTCTTTATTATTATTATTATTATTATTATTATTATTATTATTATTCAGAGACTGAATGGCCATCTGTCAGGAGAGCTTTAATTGTGCTTTTCCCTTATGGTAGAAGGTGGTAGGACTGGATATCCCAGCCTTGGAAGTCTCTTCCTACCCCAGGATTCTGTTGTTGTTGTTGTTATTATTATTATTATTATTATTATTATTATTATTAAGCAGAGACTAAATGGCCATCTGTCAGGAATGCTTTGATTGTGCATTTTTCTTATGGCAGAAGGAGGTTGGACTGGATGTCCCTGCCTTGGAGGTCTCCCTACCCTAGGATTCTAACTCTTCCAACTCTTATGAAACTGTTACTATTAAAACACTGCCAATTCCTCTCAAAGCCCTCCAGTATTTTATCTTGGTCATGGGGGTTCTTTGTGGAAAGTTTGGTCCAGCTCTGTCCAGCTCTGAATCTGTTGTAGGTAAGGCAAATCTCATCATCCATTGTCCATAAACCATAGTGATTAATCACTATGCTTTAATTATGTTCAATTTGTTACAATGAAAGGCAGCCGATCACAGGAGCTGTCTTCATAGACCTGTCAGCAGCCTATGATACTGTGAACCACCGCCTCCTCCTGAGAAAAATGTATAATATCACAAAGATCACCTGGGAAGGAATCCCACTGGAGCATTGCAGCGCACCCAAATACCCGGGAGTCACTCTGGACCGTGCTCTGACCTACAAGAAGCACTGCCTAAACATCAAGCAAAAAGTGGGTGCCAGAAACAATATCATACGAAAGCAGACTGGCACAACCTGGGGATCACAACCAGATACAGTGAAGACATCTGCCCTTGCGCTGTGCTACTCTGCTGCTGAGTATGCATGCCTAGTGTGGAACACATCTCACCACATTAAAACAGTGGATGTGGCTCTTAATGAGACATGCCGCATTATCACGGGGTGCCTGCGCCCAAACCACTGGAGAAATTACACTGCTTAGCCGGTATTGCACCATCTGACATCCGCCGGGAAGTAGCAGCCAATAGTGAAAGGACCAAGGCAGAGACATCTCCAGCTCATCCCCTGTTTGGGTATCAGCCAGCACATCAACGACTTAAATTTAGAAATAGTTTTCTAAGATCTACAGAGACACTCGCTGGAACACCTCAGCAAGCAAGAGTCCAAAAGTGGCAGGTTCAAACCCAGAACCTCAACCAATGGCTGATACCAAATGAGAGGCTCCCTCCTGGGCACACTTGGAAGGCACTGAACAGACTGCGCTCTGGCACCACAAGATGCAGAGCAAACCTTCAGAAGTGCGGCTACAAAGTGGAATCCTCGACATGCGAGTGTGGAGAAGAGCACACCACTGACCACCTGCTGCAATGCAACCTGAGCCCTGCCACATGCACAATGGAGCAACACCGGAGGCACTCCAAGTGGCCAGATACTGGTCAAAGGACATTTAATCAACTACCAAACTCACAAATTTTGTATTTTGTCTGTTTGTTTGCTTTGTTCTGTTAGAAATGTAATATAATCGACTGTTTGCCCTGACACGATAAATAAATAAAATAAATGAAAATACATCCTGCATAGCATCCTGCATAATTATTTACAGTTATGAAGTAGCAACAAATATAATTTTATAGTTGGGGGTCACCGCAACCTGAGGAACTGTATTAAGGGGTCGCGGCATTCAAAAGCTTGAGAACCATTGTTTTAGACCACTGAATGGACTGACATTTTGAATTGAATTTATTGAATTTCCTGCCACCAACTGACAATGACATTCCACAGAGTCCTCAACCAATGAATGCGCGGATCATATTTGGATCAATCAGGAGCACATATCTGTGGAAGGAAAGAAATGAGAGATTTGGATGAGATGTAATGGCTTCTCCCCTTCTTCCTCCTCCTCCTCCTCCTCCTCCTCCTCCCAATGACTACACAAACTATCATATGGACTTACCTTCTTTTCGGAGTTTCAAACGGTGAGCGGTTTTCAGCCCTGAGTTTTTGACGATGCCCCGAAACTTCTTCTTGACTTTCTTATCCACTTTCTTTTCTCTGGCTGAAAGAGGACCCCAGAAATGGGAGGGAAGAAGAGAGAGTCATATTGGGTTGCAGTGTCCATTAAGGAGGATGAAAGAATCCATCTTTCTCTCTCTTGTGTGACTTAGTGAGAGTATCTGCCTATGATGTGTGTGATTATCTGAAGACTCTGATGGTTTGCAAGTACAAGTAAAGTAGATCTGTGTATCCTTTTTGTACACTTGTATATATATTGCAATGGTGAATATTTTGGCTGAAAACTGGAATCTGTGAGTTTCCTAAACAGTATTTCTAGATAAGGTCAGATGCTGGCAGTGGAACTCTGGTGATAGATGAGCTGAAGCATGTTTTTGCTGTGAAAGGACTCTGCTGTATTTGGCTTGCTTCTGCGACACTTGCTATCCAGAGTGCATCAGTTTGGGGAAGTAATGATTGGGAAACTATAACATACCAGCAAATCCCACAAAAAAAACTATGGCATTAATTATGATTATGATGGCAAGTAGACTGTCCTGGGGAGGTAGCCTTTCCATTTATCTCAATGGATTTTCTGAAGCCAGCATGCTGTGGGATCAGACATGGGTCTATTTTTTCCGTAATTCTATGCAAAATAAGTCTCTCCAGAACTTTATAGAGGTGGCACAACAGGAAGATTGGTCTGTAGCTTTTTGGGTCATTGCGGTCTTTGCCTGGCTTCAAGATGGCGATGACTCTTGCTTTCCTCCAGATTTTGGGGATCTGACAGGATGCAGTGCAGCTGGCTTCAGAAAAGGCAAAAGCTGCACATCGCAAGTGTTGAACCTGACTCAGCACATAGAAGATGGCTTTGAAAGGCAGCAGATCACAGGAGCTGTCTTCATAGACCTGTCAGCAGCCTATGATACTGTGAACCACCGCTTCCTCCTGAGAAAAATGTATAATATCACAAAGGACTACTGTCCCACCTGCCTCATAGGAAACCTGCTACAAAACAGGAGCTTCTTTGTTGAGTTCCAGGGCCAGAGAAGCAGATGGCGGAAACAGAAGAACGGCCTACCTCAGGGGAGCGTGCTTGCTCCATCCATGTTCAACATCTACACAAATGACCAGCCACTGCCAGAAGGGACAGGGATAGTTTCATCTATGCTGATGATCGTGCCATTACTGCTCAAGCAGGGAGCTTTGAGATGGTAGAACAGAAGCTTTCCGAAGCTCTAGGTGCTCTTACTGCCTATTACAGGGAAAACCAGCTGATCCCCAACCCATCCAAAACACAGACATGTGCCTTTCATCTCAGGAACAGAGAAGCATCCCGAGCTCTGAAAGATCATCAGGGAAGGAATCCCACTGGAGCACTGCAGCGCACCCAAATACCTGGGAGTCACTCTGGACCGTGCTCTGACCTACAAGCACTGCCTGACCATCAAGCAAAAAGTGGGTGCTAGAAACAATATCATACAAAAGCTGACTGGCACAATCTGGGAATCACAACCAGATACAGTGAAGACATCTGCCCTTGCGCTCTGCTACTCTGCTACTGGTCAAAGGACATTTAATCAACTACCAAACTCACAAATTTGGTATTTTGTCTGTTTGTTTGCTTTGTTCTGTTAGAAATGTAATATAATTTGACTGGTTGTCCTGACACGACAAATAAATAAATGGATGTTTAATAAAAGGCGGTGGGGGGGGGGGGCTAATATCTCTGGGAATCATACCATAGAGAACCAGGATGCGCGTGTTGTCCTTGGAAAGTTCACCGAAGAAATAGGATTTGTAATCGGTGTCCATGACAGTCGCCTTTCCCTCTGTCCAGAGAAAGCCAAGGCAGACATTCGTTAACCCCCATTACCCCATGGCAAGATCTGAGGCCCAGCTTCAAACATTTGGTTATGTTTATACAAAAAGGAAGAATAAGGAAATGAGTCTCTGTGTGGAGAAGATGGTGAAGTGCGAACAGGGAAGAGATAGGGAAAAGGCAGCGCTGCTCAACACCTTCTTTGCCTCGGTCTTCTTTCCCCCAAAAGGAGATCAGCGTTCAGTATGAGTAACATGGAGAGAGCGAAGCAAACACAACCAAAATAGATAGAGAAGTCTGCCTTTTGGGGCAGAGAAGGCAGAAGACTTTGGGGAACCACAACTCTCACCTGGGGAAGAAGAAATCCCCTTGGCTTACCTGGCGAGGTGAAGACCCCGGGGCTGACATTGGTCAAAGCTACCTTTTTCATGGTGCAGGCCCCCTTCCTGGAAGGAAAGAAAGGAATAAAGAGAAAAGGAGGAAAGAATGAAGGAAGAAAAAAGGAAGGAAGGAGAAGGAAGGAAGGAAAAGGAAGGAAGGAAGGGGGAAAGGGAAGGAGGAAGGGGAAAGAGAAAAGAAAGGAGAAAGAGGAAGAAGAAAGGAAGGAAGAAAAGGAAAGGAGGAAGAGAAGAAAAAGGATGGATGGATGGATGGATGGATGGATGGATGGATGGATGGAAGGAAGGAACAGGAAAGGATGAAAAGAAGGAGGAAAGGAAGGAAGAAGGGAAGGAAGGAAGGAAGGAAGGGAGGAAGGAAAGAAGGAAGGAAGGGGAAAGGAAAAGAAGGAGAAAAAAAGGAAGAAAAGGAAGGATGGAAGGAAGGAAGGGAAAATGAGGGAAAGAAGGAGCAAAAAGGAAGAAAAGGAAGGAAGAGAAAGAAGGGGAAAGGAGGAAAAAAGAGGAAAAGAAGGAGGGAAGGAAGGAAAGAAGGAACGAAGAAAAGAAGAGAGAAGGAAGGAAGGGGAAAGAAGGAAAAGAAGGAAAGAAGGGGGAGGAAAGAAAGGGAAAGGAGAAAAAAAGGAAGAAGGAAGTAAGAAAAGGCAAAGGAGCAGAGAAGAAGAAAAGGAAGGAAGAGAAAAGGAAGAGAAGGGGAAGAAGAAGGGAGAGAGGAAGGAAGGAAAAAGAAAAGGGAAAAGGAAGGAGAGAATAGAAAAGGAAGGAAGGGGAAAGGAAGAAAAGAAGGAGGAAAAGAAAGAGGAAAAGAAGGAAAGAAGGAAGGAAGGAAGAAGGGAAGGGAAGAAGGAAGAAGGGAAGGAAAGAAGGAAGGAAAGAAGAGAGAAGGAAGAAAAAAGGGAGGGAGGGGAAAGGAGGAAAACAAAGAGGAAAAGAAGGAAGGAAAGAAGAGAGAAGGAAGGAAGGGGAAAGGTGGAAAAGAAGTAGGAAAAAAGGAGGGAAGGAAGGAAAGAAGGGAGAAGGAAGGGGAAAGGAGGAAAAAAAAGGAGAAAAGAAGGAAGAAGAAGAAGAAAAGAAAGGAGAAATGAAGAAAAAGGAAGGAGGAAGGAAGAAGGAAGGAAGGAAGGAGAAAAGAAAGAGGAAAAGAAGGAGGAATGAAGGAAGAAAAAGGAGGAATGAAGGAAGGAAGGAAGAAGGAAGGAAAGGAGGAAAAGAAAGGAAAAGAAGAAAGGAAGGAAGGGAAGAAGAGAAGGAAAGAAGGAAAAGAAGGAAGAAGGAAAGAAGAAGGAAAAGAAGGAAGAAAGGAAGGGAGAAGGAAGAAGGGAAAGAGGAAAGAAGAAAAGAAGGAAGAAGAAGAGAAGGAAGGAAAGAAGGAAGGAAAGAAGAGAGAAGGAAGGGAGGGGAAATGAGGAAAAGAAGGAAGAAAAAAGGAAGGAAGGAAGAAAAGGAGGAAAAGGAAGAAGAAAAAGGAAGGATGGATGGATGGAAGGAAGGAAGGAAGGAAGGAAAGGAGGAAAAGAAAGAGGAAAAGAAGGAAGGAAGGAGGAAGGAGAAGAAAGGAAGGGGAAAGGAGGAAAAGAAGGAAGAACAAAAGGAAGGAAGGAAGAAAAGGAAAAGGAGGAAAGGGAAGAAGAAAAAGGAAGGATGGATGCAAGGAAGGAAGGAAGGGGAAAAGAGGAAAAGAAGGAAGAAAAAGGAAGGAAGGAAAGGGAAAAGAGGAAAGAAGGAAGGACAAAGGTCAAATGATCTGATTTCTGAGGTCCCTCTGCCCTCTCTTCTTGAGACCACAATTGCCCATATTTGTGGTCAGTTTCGGATTAGGGAATATTCGCCGAGCCCGATCCCAAAAACCACAGAGAACGCACAGCTTGAAGGCCATTGTGTACACAATCGTGGAATGGGACCTGAAGGCCATTGTATGCACAATCACTTTGTGTGTGGAATGGGAGCACGGAGAAGTTGAGTCTCCAAAAAGCGTTGAAGCTGAGGTCTCCATGCCTGCCTGCAGCCACTCACTGGGGGATCTCAATATTCATGGTGATGCCTCCGCTGCCTGTGGTCTCCAGGGTGAAGGCGTGGATGGGCCTCGGGGACGACTCCGGCGTGGCAGTCCTCACTGGGTACCACTTCCCGGCCATCTGCCAGAAGAGAAGCGGAGGGAGGGAAAGCGGGTTAATTGCAATGCAAACCCTTGGGCAAACACAGACCCACTCACAGGAAGTCTTGGGAACTTATCGTTATCAGCCTACGTAAGTCACTGAAGACTTGCCTGGCCGGAATAATCAGAGGTGGCCCTAGGTAATTTTCAACGGTAAGCAAACAGTATTTTGCCCCCCCCCCCCACAATCATTGATATATATATTCTGTTCATTGTGGGAGTTCTATGTGCCATATTTGGTTCAATTCCATCATTGGTGGAGTTCAGAATGCTCTTTGATTGTAGGTGAACTATACATCCCAGTAACTACACTTGCCGCACTTGCTCCCTTGCCTGGCCCGCTTTGGGTCCGGAGGTGCCTGAAGACCCCGGCGTGTGCACCAAAAGTCACCTCTTCTCCTGACTTTCTCCTCAGCCATTGGGACAGAGAGAGAGAGAGAGAGAGAGAGAGGGGGAGATGCCCACCTTTCCTGAAGGTAGGCACAAAAACAAAGGTGGGAGATACCTCCAGCCGGAGGGGCTCTCTCTCTTGCTCTCTCTCTCTCTCTTGGTCCCAATGGCTGAAGAGAAAGTCAGGAGAAGAGGCGACTTTTGGTGCACACGGGGGTCTTCAAACACGCCTCCGGACCCGAAGCGGGCCAGACACGGTGGCTCCGCCCCTTGGCCCACCTGCAGATTGGGGAGAGGAGAAGAGGCGGGTGGAGCGCCGGGGAATCGGGAAAGGGAACCAGTCATGGGGAAGGGATCGAACACAGAAAACGATTGAGTGCTGGCTCTGCTCGCGCACCCGGTGGCCAGGTGGAGCAGGAACGAGAGGGGCTAGGCGAGGCTCAAGGGCCCGGCCCCTTTGGGAAGAGGATCGCCCGGCAGCGAGGCAAGAAAGCCGAGGCTCCCCCCGGACTGCTAGGGCTGTTGTGAGCTGAGGGGGCGCTCCTCAAGTGGCAGTCGAGGGGCATTTACAGAGGCGCCTCTGCGCCCCTGGCAAAAAAAAGTGTTCTGCGACCGCTTACTTCGCGTAATGGACGAGCCGCCCCTGTATAGTTAGAGAACGAAATCTGTATTACTTGCCACTTTTGAAATGTTACACCTGTTACATTGCCATTGGTCCAGGAGAAGGGTTAAGAGTGAGTTGCCAGCTTCACAAACAATTGTATTTGTTGTATGATCTTGTTATTGATATTGTTTGTCTGGATCTGCTTGTTTTGTCTGATCTGTTGGTCGTAATAAATGTCATTCTTGCAGACATTCAGGACTCAGTTTAAGTCAAGGCCGAATTTGGCCTCAGAAGGAACAGCTAGAGATATATTATTATTATTACTCTCATATTTATTTACACCCCGCTTTATTTCTCCCCAAACGGGACTCAAAGCGGCTCAACACAAAAGCATCAGCATCATTATTTAAAATATACAACTACTGTGTTCCCTCACTTATTGCGGGTGTTACGTTCCAGGACCACCCGCAATAAGTGAAAATCTGCATAGTAGGGACACTATATTTACTTTAATATTTATACTTCATTTTATAAACTTAAAATAAAGGAAGGAAAGGCCCTTCGAGGCTGGAGGGAGGGAGGACTGAGGAGGAAATATATATTTTAAAATAATATTTATTGAAAACCACGAAACACAATAAGTTGCAAACGCTGAATGCACAAAAGGCTTCAGTCGGAGAATCCTGGGAATGCTAAGTGCGGCAACGGGGAGGGACAAGAGCTATTTCATATAATAGATATAAAACCATAACCATCTACCGTATCTCTGGCTGGATGGCCATCTGCTGGGAAGGTTTTTAACAGAAGGGGTTGGACTGGATGGCCTTTGAGTGTCCCTTTCACATTTATGATATTTATCATATCTATCTATCTTTCCTGATTTGTATGGGAATTATTTCTGACGCAGATTGAGTCTATAGCATTGACCAACTGAATCCCATCGCCGTGAGATGGCAAATCCCAGTTTTGGTGTCCTGGTCCACCCTTTTTCTACTTACCTATATTGTGCATCTATCCCAATTGGAACGTATTACCTTTTTATGGGAATGGTTCCTGACGCAGCTGGAAGTGGTTACCTTGTTGATGTCAATGTTTTTCATTACGGGAACATCCGAAGCAACGGTCAGGAAACAGAGAGTGAAGAGAACCAACGCAATCTGGCTCGGGAAGACTATGGCCATCTTTGGGTATTTCCTCCGGCTCTGTGATGGCTCTGTTTGTGTGACACTGGCCTTTATATCCCTCCCTTGGCGCCTTTATTGCTCATCCAAGCCAATCCACCTGGAATGATTGGATGATTTTGATAAAGTCAGTTTAGAGGGATCTTTGTGTCCAAGGACGCCAAGGATGGCCAACAAAGCATGGCTGCCAAATGGTGGGTGATGGGTGGATTGCCTTGACCTTCTGGTCCTTCAACTAATTTGGAAGGAAGACGTGCTGATGAATGGCCTGTGTTCTGGCCAAGTCTCCGTTTGCATTTGGAAGGTTTTCACTCAACAAAAGCCAACTGGCACATTTCCTTTTTGGGATTTCTAGGTTGGCCACTGTTTAAACGAGGGTTGAATGAAAAGTAATGCCTCCACCTTTGGATGGGTTTGGATGGGAATATTTTAATAAATCAAACGCAGAAATAATCCTTAGAATGTGCTCTTTAACTAGCACTATTCACTTTTCCACATAATCACCAGGCAATTGGATACGTTTCTGCTAACGATGAACAAGTTTTCTGAAGCCGTCACAGAAGACGTTGACGCTCTGTTTCCACAACCAGCGCCTCAGAGTTCTCTCAACGTCTTCATCAGAAGCATAATGATGTCCTCGCAGATCTTCTTTCATTTTTTCATTATCGGGAACAGATGGAAGTCAGACGGTGCTAAATCTGGACTGTGGTGAGATCCAGTCTTTGAAGTTCTACTGTGGTGCGCTTTCATTTCAGGCACCAGCATCCTGGGTACCCATCGTGCACAGACCTTCTGATAGCCAAGCAAAACAATAATGTGACCCACACGTTCTTGTGAAATGCTGATTATGCCTGAAATTTCTCTCCAAGTGATCATCCTGAATCAGTCTGTCAACCTTTTGCTTGTGAAACTTGGTGGTTGCTGTCACATGATGTCCAACTCTTTGTCATGCTAGTCCAATGTTCCCATCTCAACATCTTAAACTTACTCGCCCAATGACACACAGTACTCACATCAACACAATCACTATAAATTGCTTGCATTCTCTGATGAATATCCTTTGGGGTGACACCTTCTGCTGTCAAGAATGCACAGACAGTCGCATTGATCGACTGTCTGTGCACTTTAACAACACAATCGCTCAATGCTAAGACTTGGTGCCAAAATGCAACTGTAGAGGAGAGTCTACTGAACAAGCCGGTACCTGCCACATACCAGTACTGCCATTTGTTGAGGAGTCATGAAGCGGGAGGCATTACATTTCATTCAACCCTCATAGATGTTGAAAAGCATGGGGGACACAATAGAGCCTTGTGGGACCCCACAGGCCAAGGGTCAAGAGTCCAAGCAGTTCTCCCCCGGCTTCACCAACTTGGTACGATCCTCCAGGAAGGATTGGAGACACTGCAAAGCAGTGCCCCCCAGACCCATTCCAGAGAGCTGACCCAGAAGGAGACCATGGTTGATGGTATCGAAAGCCACTGAGATGTCCAGGAGAACCAACATGGAGACATTCCCCTTGTCTAGCTCTCTGCAGAGATCATTCACCAAGGCGACCAAAGCCATCTCCGTACCATACCTTTATGTGGATTGTTTCAAACGCACCTGAAATATATACTTTTCCAGTGTCAACGCCTGTCATTTTTTGGATTCCTGATGCAACGGAAGGAACAGAGAGACCAACAGAAGGATCAAGGCCATCCAGAGCGGATTATTTTGGGAAGGCCTCATTCTGCCCTGAGGTCAAGAACAGTCCGTTTTGTCCAACCAACGACTCTTTGCCAAGTTGTGGACGATGGATTGCCATGACCTTCTTTAAGTCGCCTATATCTGCATTTATACATGAACAATGGGAAGCAGCCAGAGGGGTTTGCCAGCAGTGTGGTGTGGCAGCTAAAAAGGGAAATGTGATTCTGGGCTGCTTCAATAAGATTATAATGTCGAGGGAAGTCATGTTTGTCCCTTTAAGACAGTGGTTCTCAGCCTTTTTAATGCCGCAACCCCTTTATGCAGTTCCTCATGTTGTGGTGACCCCCAACCATAAAATTATATTCGTTTCTACTTCATAACTGTAATTTTGCTACTGTTATTAATTGTAATGTAAATATCTGATATGCAGGATGGATTTTCATTACAAATTGAACATAGTTAAAACATAATGATTAATCACAAAAACAATATGTTTGGGAGAGGATGGACAGCGGATGATGGGATATGCAATACCTTCAACTGATTCAGCTTTGACTTGCACAGACCACTGACCCCTCACCCCCAACAAATGGCAGATCTGAACCAAACTTGGCACACAGAACCTCCATGAACAACAGAAAATACTGGAGGGGTTTGGGGGGAATTCACAGTGATTTAATAGTAAGAGGATCCTAGACTTGCAAGAGACCTCCAAGGGCCATCCGGATCAAACTCCCTTCTGCCTTGATGCAGGAAAAGCACAATCAAAGAACTCCTCACAGTTGGCCATTCAGACTCTGCTTAATAATAATAATACAATCCTAGAGTTGGAAGGGACCCCTAAAGGCCATCCAGTCCAACAATTAAAGCCCTCCCAACAAATGATCCCAGCCTCTGCTTAACAACAACAACAACAGAATCCTAAAGTAGAAAGAGACTTCCAAGGACCATCCAGTGCAACCTTCTTCTGCCATAAGGGAAATGCGTAATCAAAGCACTCCTGACAGATGGCCAGTCTGCCTCTGCTTAATAATAATAACAATAACAGAATCCTAAACTGGCCATCTGTCAGCGGTGCTTTGATTCTGCATTTCTCTTATGGCAGAAGGAGGTTGGACTGGATGACCCTTGGAAGTCTCTTCCCACTTTAGGATTCCATTATTGTTATTGTTATTATTAACCAGAGGCAAGTTCGAGGGTTGCAAGGCTTTATACTTTAGGATTCTGTTGTTGTTTGCAGCCATCCCGGGGACGGAAAAGGGGATAGTGCCAAATGAGGCAGTCTCACAACCCCTCGAAAATTGTCAAATGACCCCTCTGATGGTCGTGACCCCCAGGTTGAGAACCACTGCTTTAAGGGCTTGCTTTTGCTTTGTGACAATAAGTTTCAGCCGGGCATCTTTAGGCTTTTATTTCCCTTTGATTTGGAGGAAGCAATTGCCCCAGATATCCCGCATTTCCTTTACTCCTCGCAATGCCTGGGGTGCGACTCCAGCTTTTCAGGGACGAAGCGTTGAATTAGCCAGGCAATCTCTGTCCCTGGGCAGGGCTCTGTGGAAGGAGAGAGGCAAGACTAAATAATATGGGACTCTACAAAGGTCAAAGAGATACTCAGAGGTAATCTAGTCCACCCCTTTACAGGAATAATATGGCTAGAGGACTAGGAGGGAGCTCAAGGGTCGTCTAGTCCATCCCTTTAGTGTAATAGGGATAATATGGAACTACATATGGCTAGGAGGGAGACCCAGAGGTCATCTAGTCCATCCCTTTAGTGTTTCAGGAATAGTATTGAACTATATAGGGCTGGGAGGGAGACCCAGAGGTCATCTAGTCCATCCCTCTACTGTCTTAAGAATAATTTGGGACTACAGAACTGGAAGGGTTCTCACCTATGATGCGCATAGGATGGATTTTGTCCGCAGGAAACCCCAAAGATGTGGCGCGGGCCTTGAATTTCCCTCTGATTTCTTCGGAAGGGTTCCGTTCCCGGGCTGAAGAAAACGCAAGGCAGTCAGGCATGCTTATAGATCCCTCTTCATGGCCCATCCCACTCCTCCATCCCTTTGCAAACGGACTTTTGGACTGAAAAACATACCGTACAATTTCAGAACCCTGACATTGGTGTATGCTCGGTGCAGGATGAAATAACTGCTGTAGTCCGTTTCAACAACATGGCGGACCAACACCCCTGGGTTGCAAGAAGTGGGTGTAAATAAATATAATCATATAATAATTCAAATGGGAGTAATGTCAGCGAATTAGTGGATCAGTCTAGTGCTATAATCTAATGCTATTCCTATAGCAGCAAAGGGGATGGACTAGATGACCTTTGTGGATCTTTTCCAATCCTATAATGCAGTACTATTCCTCTAAGAGCAAAGGGCCATACTACATGTCACTTAGTTATCCCTTCCAGCCTTATAGTTCAACGTTATTCCTATTATAAGGGATGGACTAGATGACCTCTGAGTACCCCTTTAATCTAATGCTATTCCTATAGCAGCAAAGGGGATGGACTAGATGACCTTTTTGGACCCTTTCCAATCCTATAATACAATAGTTCAACAAAGGGGGTGGATTGGATGACCTTTGTGGATCCCTTCCAACCCTATAAAACAATACTGCTCCTCTAAGAGCAAAGGGCCAGACCCTTAGATATCCCTTCCAACCCTATAGTTCAACGTTATTCCTATTACAATGGGGTGGACTAGATGACCTCTGAGTATCCCTTCCAATGCTATAATGCAGTACTATTCCTCTAAGATGAAAGGGCTGGACTAAATGACTCTTGGGGATCCCTTCCAGTGCTAAAACTCAATGCTATTCCTATAATACTGGGCTGTGATAAAACTCATTGTTTTGTCAGTATGCAATGTTATCTGGTGTGAAAATTGCTTATAGCTTAAACTGTATAACCATACAAATCTCGGTAATGCGTGGGTTAAAACAGTAGCAATATGTAACATTGGTCACTTTCAGAGTTTAAGAGCAAATGGGTCAGACTAGATGACCCTTAGGTATCCCTTCCAACATTATTCCTATTACAAGGAGGCGGACTAGATGACCTCTGAGTATCCCTTCCAATGCTATAATCTAATGCTACTCCTATAGCAGCAATGGGGATGGACTAGATGACCTTTGTGGATCCTTTCCAACCCTATAATGCAGTACTGTTCCTCTAAGATCAAAGGGCTGGACTAGATGGTTCTTGGAGATCCCTTCCAGTGGTATAACTCAATGCTATTCCCAGTGGTCCTTACCCTCCAGCCCGTATATCCCCGGTCTCTCCATCTGCGGCATGCGATACTTCGACCTCCGGCAGTTCCATTCATTTCTGGGAAGGAAAGAATTGGGGGCGATGGGCCTTGCAATCCAGAAAAAACCCAGACTGATGCTTCCAGTTTGGTCAGAAAGGCCTTGGTCAGATCGCAGTCTCCCATGGCAAATCCGCCAGATGCCATCCTTACTATTGGACCAGAATTAGTTATCATTTATTTTTATTTATTTTTATTTTTTCTTATTTTCCTTTATTTTTTCTCGTTATTTTATTTCCTCACTTGATGTCATTTTTTCTTATTTTATTTTTTGTATTTTGACTTTATTTTTTCTTAATTTTTATTTTTTAACTTTTTCTCATTTTCCTTTATTTTTATTTTATTTTCAATTGTTGTTAATTTATTATTATTCAATTACTATTATCAATTATTTTATTATAATTGTATTATTTTATTTTATTTTTGTTATTCTTACTACTGTTATTATTTTCAATTATTTTATTACTATTTTATTATTACTATTATTATTTTATTACTCCCAGCCCTCCCAACCCGAAAGACAGTTGCATCTGTCAAGTAGGAAAATTAGGTACCACCTTAAAGTGTGGGGAGGCTAAATTAACTGATTTATGAGGCCATAAAGAAGACTCCAGCAAAGCATTCCACTGTAATCCGCCCTGAGTCCCCTGCGGGGTTAGAAGGGCGGCATATAAAAGCTGTAAATAAATAAAATAATACATACTATTTTATTATCTCTATTATTTTTATTTCAATTATTATTACTTTCAATTATTATTAGTAATATTTTATATTATTATTTTCATTTTAATTGTTTTTCAATTATTATTGTTGTTTTATTTTATTTTCAAATATTATTACTATTTATATTATTGTATTGTTGAAGGCTTTCATGGCCGGAATCACTAGACCATTTATATTGTTATTTTCATTTTTTTATCAGTTTATTATTTCTATTATTATATTATTATTTTCATTTTTATTTCACATATTATTATTAAAGCATTATTATTTTCAATTATATTTTCTTTTGTGATATGGCCTAATAAAAAAATTATTACTTATATTTTACATTATTTTTGTTTTATTGTTTCAGTTATTATTATTTTCATTTTTTACTATTTTAATATATCTATTATTATTATTATATTATTTTCATTTTTATTTCTATTATTATTATTATAACTAATTATTTTTCGATTATATTTTCTATTTTTTTTACATTTTTAAAATTATTATTATCTTCTATTATTATTATTATTATTATTTTATTTTTCAATTATAATTATAAGTTTTCTATCAGTCTCTTAGGTGATCCATTCTTCAGCTTTCACACAGATCTCAACATTATATTATTATTGTTGTTGTTGTTGTTGTTGTTGTTGTTGTTGTTATTATTATATTATTACTATTACAGTGCTGCAAATCTCTGCTCATGCATTGCTCCTTCCCTCATACACTCACATGGGGAGGTCCACGTGCCAAACCATCCTCCCGTTTCTCCCGGCATGGACAATCATGGGCGGGTCAGAGAAGTGCTGCAAACTGCCTGTTTTTTCCACGGCCGAGACTGGAAACCATAAGCCAGACAGCTGGAAGGAGAAGGGGAAACTAGAACTCCCAACAACAACAAGAACAATCTCTGCTGATGCATTGCTGTGGTGTACTGGTGCTGCAAATCTTTGCTGATGCATTGCTATGATGCTTTGATGCTGCGAATCTCTGCTGATGTATTGCTGTGATGTTCCGGTGCTGTGAATCTCTGCTGATGCATTGCTGCGATGCTCCAGTGCTGCAAATCTCTGCTCATGCATTGCTGCGATGCTCCGGTGCTGCAAATCTCTGCTTATGCATTGCTGCGATGCTCCGGTGCTGCAAATCTCTGCTBATGCATTGCTGCGATGCTCCRGTGMWGCAAMTCTCTGCTYATGCATTGCTGYGATGCTCCRGTGAAGCAAATCTCTGCTTATGCATTGCTGTGATGCTCCGGTGAAGCAAATCTCTGCTTATGCATTGCTGTGATGCTCCRGTGAAGCAAATCTCTGCTYATGCATTGCTGYGATGCTCCRGTGMAGCAAATCTCTGCTTATGCATTGCTGYGATGCTCCRGTGMWGCAAATCTCTGCTTATGCATTGCTGYGATGCTCCGGTGAWGCAAATCTCTGCTTATGCATYGCTGCGATGCTCCGGTGAAGCAAATCTCTGCTTATGCATYGCTGYGATGCTCCGGTGMAGCAAATCTCTGCTTATGCATTGCTGYGATGCTCCGGTGCAGCAAATCTCTGCTTATGCATTGCTGCGATGCTCCGGTGCAGCAAATCTCTGCTYATGCATTGCTGCGATGCTCCGGTGMWGCAAATCTCTGCTYATGCATTGCTGCGATGCTCCGGTGATGCAAATCTCTGCTTATGCATTGCTGCGATGCTCCGGTGCTGCAAATCTCTGCTGATGYATTGCTGTGATGCTCCGGTGATGCAAATCTCTGCTTATGCATTGTTGCGATGCTCCGGTGATGCAAATCTCTGCTTATGCATTGCTGCRATGCTCCGGTGATGCAAATCTCTGCTTATGCATTGCTGCGATGCTCCGGTGATGCAAATCTCTGCTGATGCATTATAGCAATGCATCAACAGAGATTAGCAGCACCGGAGCATCGCAGGCAGAAATATTTAATAACAGATTATGTCAAGAAAGAGACATGATTAATATGACATATTAAATAAGCATATTAAATATAAACGGCAAAATATTTCTATGATCCGAAGAGAAAAGTCAAGTAAAATAAGAGGGAACATAAAGCAAAAATAAAATTAGGAAAATCAATTAAACAAGGGGGAAATAAAGAAAAATAAGAAAAAAACAATAAATAATAAATAAAATAAATTCCAAAAATAAGAAACATAGTAAGAAAAAAATAAGCTCAAAAATAAAAGAAGAAAAGAAGAAAAAATATGCTCAAAAGAATAAAAAAAAATAAGAAATGCCGTTGGATGTTACCCTTTTGAGGTCGAAATCAGGCTGAACAGGGATCTCGGCCTCGGCAGGGAGACGCAAACAAGACAATGACGACAATGACGACAACGACAACAACAACATCCCAACAACATGGCCCATCTTGGCACAAGCAAGCTTCAATGGCAATCGATGCCTTGCTTTATATATCATAATCGTAGCCAAGCCGAAAGGCTTTTTCAATGGGAAATTTGTTCTTGCAACAAAAGAACATTCGGCCTCTTCCGGGAACATTGGGGTTGTCATTTCCCCAAAATTAATGGCCCGTTTTTAGTGGGTAGCAATCAAGGCAGGAAAGGGCCGTTAAAAGAGGATAATTACCACTCCATCAGTAATTGGGAAAAGTAACTTCTGGGTTGCAACCCAAAGAAACTTGTGTTGCTGGCCCGGATCTCCATGCCAAACGGGGTTGGACTAGATGGCCTTTGGAGGTACCCTTTCCAACTATTCGTTTCCTTTCCAGTACACAGCATTCGTTTCCTTAGGGCGAATAATAAACCCTTAAAGACAGATATACTGAACAACAAATATTATTTATAATACTTACATTGCGTTCCTTGATAATATTAAGAAAGAGACATGAAATAATCTTGACTAATAATATTAAAAATAATATTAATGATAAAGATAAAAATTATATATTTTATATAATAATTATATATGTATTATAAAATATAAAAAATAAAAATATATATCATAATAGATTATATCAAGAAAGAGGCAAGAAATAATCATAATTAATATTACATTATATTAAGAATATTATAAAAATATAATATATATAATATATATTATTAACTTTAAAATATATAAGAGATTACATTAAGAAAGAGACATGAAATAATCGTGATTAATAATATTAAATTATAATGTTAATATTATATTTAAATAATATAAATATTATATATATATGATAGATTATATCAAGAAAGAGGCATTAAATAATCATAATTAAAATTACATTATAATATTAAGAATATTCAATATAAAATATAATATATATTATTAAATATGAAAATATAAAATAATAGATTGCATTAAGAAAAAAGACATGAAATAATCGTGATTAATAATATTAAATTATAATATTATTATTATATATGTTTATATAATATAAATAATATAATATATATAATGATAGACTATATCAAGAAAGAGGCATGAACTAATCATAATTAACATTACATTATAGTATTATATAATATATAATAATAGATTACATTAAGAAAAAATGAAATAATTGTGATTAATAATATTAAATTATAATATTAATATTATATATATTTACATAATATAAATAATATTAAATATATATAATGATATATATCAAGAGGCATGAAATAATCATGATTGATCATAATAAATTAGAATATTAATATTAAAAATAAAAATATTAAATATAACGTAATATATATAATATAAATATAAAATATACAAATATATATCATCATCATTGTTATTTATCATCCGATCATGTTTCTTGATTATATAATAATGTTACAATCAGCGACCTATTGCTAACGCTGTTTACAACAGTCAGGTGATGTTCCTTTGATATTTATCTATATAAAGGAAGACAATAGTCTCAACCGCTTTCAACAAACCTTTTTTTTAATTGAAAAGTAACGATACATATAAAAAACATTTTGAATTTACAATGCTTTCTGCAATATCCATCTCTGTTCCAGGGGACAGGCATGAACTACAACTTCCAGGACATTCAGTTCGGCATCAATTGGGGAAAATTAAGTTTTGCGCATTTGTTTTTTCCCTCCCTTTCTTCCCCACAATTTTGCAAAAAGAAAGAAATAATTAGCTTTACTTGTTGAATTAGCATTGCATTTCATTGTCTGGGTGAGACAATGCATCTGAAAGTGCATCTGTCCACACGGTAGCGTTTAATGCAGTTTGACGCTTCTGGGAGTTGTAGTTCTGCAAGGTCTGCAGGCTTTCTCTGCCAGATATTACCCTCCAAACTACAAATCCCACTTGGTCCAATGGGACAGAATGATGGGAGTTGTAGTTCCACAAGGTCTACAGGCCTTTTCTGCTAGATAGTGCTTTCCTAAACTACAAATCCCATTTAATTCAATGGGACTGAATCGTGGGAGTTGTAGTTTGCAAGCTCTGCAGGTCTTTTCTGCCAGATAGTGCTTTCCTAAACTACAAATCCCACTTAATTCAATGGGACTGAATCATGGGAGTTGTAGTTCTGCAAGCTCTGCAGGCCTTTTCTGCCAGATAGTGCTTTCCTAAAGTACAAATCCCACATGGATCAATGGGGTGGAGTCCTGGGAGTTGTAGTTCCATAAAATCTAGGGCAGAATCATGGGAGATGTAGTTCTGCAAGGTCTGCAGGCTTTCTGTGACAGAGAGTGCTTTCCCAAACTACAAATCCTGTTTGGTTCAATGGGTCATAATTGTGGAAATTGTAGTTCCGCAAAGTCTGCAGCCTTCTGTGCCAGATATGACCCTCCAAACTACAAATCGCACTTGGTTAAATGAGACGAAATCATGGGAGTTGTAGTTCCACAAGCTCTAGGGCAGAATCATGGGAGTTGTAGTTCCGCATGGTCTGCACGCCTTCTCTGCTAGATATTGTCCTCTAAACTACAAATTCCAATTGGACAAATGGGATGGAGTCATGGGAGTTGTAGTTCCACAAGCTCTAGGGGTGAATGATAGGATTTGTTGTAGTTCTGCAAGTTCTGTATGCCTTCTCTGCCAGGTATCACCCTCCAAACTACAAATCCCACTTGGACGAACGAGACAGAGTAGTGGGGGCTGTAGTTCCACAAGGTCCGCTGGAGCATGGCGGGCGTGCTAGAGGGCCCCGGGGGTGGTGCGGCTGCGCAGGAGGCATGCGGAGGCGCCCGCGGCCACGGCCAGGATGGCCACCAGGAGGAGGAGGAGGCCCACCCAGGGCCCGAGTGCAGTGGCCCGCCAGGCGCCGGCCTGCTCCGCAGGGATCATGTTGGTCAGGTTCAGCATGAAGCCCAAGGCCCAGCCGATGGACGTCTCCCCCGCCTGCAGGAAGGAGAAGCAGGAAACTTCATGTCAACAACAACAACAACAACAACAGCAATCTCAATGCAAAGAGGGCTCACCTTTTTCTGGAAGGCAATGTCCGGGAACGTGGATTCATTGAAACCGTACCCTTGGGTGAGGAGCAGGGAAATGAAGTTGGCCATGGGGCAGTAGTCCGGCAGGAAGCGCTCCATGTGCGGGGCCGCCCGGAAGAGCTGCACAAGAGGGAAGGAATCAGACAAGGGCCAATGCGACCAGGTCTAGTCATGAACTTTACAGGATTGGGAAGCGACAGATACAAAGGAAGATTCCTTCCTTTGTATGTGTTGCTTCCCAATCCTGTAAAGTTCATGACTAGACCCAGAAAGTTGGGGGGGGGGGGAGAACCGAGAGGAGGAATAGGAAGCCGAATGGGAGGAAAAATGGAAGGAGGAAGAAGAGGGAAGAAGAAAAGAGAAGAAGGGGAGGAAGAAGAGGAGGAGGAAGAAGACGAATGGGAGGAAAAAGAGGAAGGAGAAGAATGAGAAGAGGTGAAAGGGTCTTTGAGCGAAATTTGCAAATACTAAGTAAGGGGCTTTGAATGAAATTAACAGCAAAAGAGAGACATACCCTTTCTCTGACTGAAAAAGAGCAATATGGAAGAAAATGTTTTTAAGAAACAAGATGTAACATGTAGAAGGTACTTTCTTACACAGGATGCTTGTGGTTAACTTCAAAGGTTGTTTTTTTTGAAACGCAGAGGCCGCATGTACAAGAAGGTACTTTCCATCAAAAGGTCAGAATTATTATTCACAAAAGGTGTTTTCCCTATGCTTTTTGTTTATACTGGGCTATAAAGTTTGCAGATTTCAAGGGAAGAGCACAGCAGTCACTTGAAGGGTAACATCTGTGTATGTTGCCTGGCTGTCCGTCTTCTTTATGAAGAAACTAAAATAAAACCTTGTTTTTTGATCTTTCATTGGGACTGTCTCCTTCCTTTTGTGCTGCTGCGACGTGGACCTAAAAAGACCCAATTTAGGGTCTCTAACAGAGGAAGGAAAGAGAAGACGAGGAAGAAGAGTAGTAGTAGTAGTGTTGCCAAACATGACCCTTCCCCCAATAAAAGATAGTTTATAATTATATATTTATAGCAGAGGAGCTATAAATATAGCAGAGGAGCTGGCAGGACTGAAGACCGATAAGCCGCAGGTTCAAATCCGGTGAGAGGCAGATGAGCTCCCTCTGTCAGCTCCAGCTCCCCATGCAGGGACATGAGAGAAGCTTCCCACAAGGATGGTAAAACATCAAAACATCCAGGCGTCCCCTGGGCAACGTCCTTGCAGACGGCCAATTCTCTCACACCAGAAGCGACTTGCAATCACTCCTGACATGACAAAAACAAAAACAAAAAAAACAAAATAGCAGAGGGTAACTTTTTTATGAATGAAACTCCTGTTTTATGAATGGACTTCGGCTGCTCAGTGCTTATATGGACTTTATATCATCTTGTATGAACTCTGGGTGACCAAGACGGATCTTTCCTCGACCCTTCCCCATATGAACTCTGTATATGCCCATAACCCCATTTATTATATGTATGTATGTCTATATAAAATATTAAGCAAGGTGACGGCTTCGTGAACTACGCCCAGTATCTCAGGATCCAGGTGTTGCAAGACTTCCTGGGTCATCATCCCCAAACAATGGACTTGGCAGAAACCCATCAGCATGGACAAATAGCCCCTTCCTTGGGCTTCAGAGGGTCTTGTCGACTACCCCACCCCCCACCCCCAGCTGCTTCTCCCGGCTCGCTGACATCACAGCCAATCACAGCAAAGCCAGCTCAGGAGGTGGGCACAGGAAAATTTGAGTGGAAAACGGTGTATATTCTTTATTTGGCTGCCCAAAAGCCACGTCGGCTCCTTTGGCAGATTACTGCGGTTGTCATCCTTTCCAGTTGGAATAGAAAATAAACTTTGGTGGCCTTGCTTCAACTTGGTGAGATTTATTGGAAAATAGGGAAAATCTTATTGTCTCATCTAGCGTTAGGAGAAGGAGGGCGACTAAAATTATCAAGGGTCTGGAGAACAAGCCCTATGAGGAGCGGTTTAAGGAGCTGGGCATGTTTAGCCTGAAGAAGAGAAGGCTGAGAGGAGATATGATAGCCATGTATAAATATGTGAGATGAAGCCACAGGGAGGAGGGAGCAAGCTTGTTTTCTGCTTCCTTGGAGACTAGGACGCGGAACAATGGCTTCAAACTACAAGAAAGGAGATTCCATCTGAACATGAGGAAGAACTTCCTGACTGTGAGAGCCGTTCAGCAGTGGAACTCTCTGCCCCGGAGTGTGGAGAAGGCTCCTTCTTTGGAAGCTTTTAAACAGAGGCTGGATGGCCATCTGTCAGGGGTGATTTGAATGCAATATTCCTGCTTCTTGGCAGGGGGTTGGACTGGATGGCCCATGAGGTCTCTTCCAACTCTTTGATTCTATGATTTGAGGAGGAGGAGGAGGAGGAGGAGAATAGCAGGAAGGGGAGATGAAAGAAGAGGAAATGGGGAAAAAAGGAGTTAGGGATTCCTCATTGGAAGAGGAAGGGGAGCAGGGACGTGCTCAGGAATTGGAGGGAGAAGAAGAATCAGATGAGGAGGGTTTGAAAGTGCCCACTTTTCTAGAGAGACGACAAGAGACAGAGCACAAGTGGTGTTCAGCTAGGATAGCTGCTAAAAACGCGGAGCTAATTGGGAGACGCCCAGCACCTCCTGCATGGGGAATTCAGGGCTATAAATCAGAGGCAGGAGCAGTCAGCTTTCGCTGGTAACAAGGACCCTGATACTAATGCTTTCACTTCAATGGAACCTGCTTTGTGTCTGCTGCTAAGGACTTAGGTCACTGCCCTTTGTCTGATGGAAGACTGGTGTTTCGTTTGGGACTTTGTAAGAGACTTTGATTTGTGTCTGGATTAAGACTCCCTTGTTTTCTTTTGCACTTTTCAATTGCATTTGCTTATTCTTTGTGTTTGCTGAAGTGAAGCTTTTTTCTTTTACTTACAACATTGTCTAAAGGCTGTTTTGGGAGGGCAACTCAGGACAGAAGGAGACTAGAAAAGGAGAAAGGGAGGAAGAGGGAGAAGGGGACCAAAGCCTTTGACCCCTGACCCCTTGACCCCTGACCCACCTGGGCCCAGGTCATGTTGCAGATCTCCTCGGTGGCGGCTTCCAGATCGCCCGGGGTGGCCACGCGCCTCTTGCTCACCAACTGGAGGAAGTCCACTGTATAGAAAAAGGCCGAAAAGGCCTGCCGGGAGGCGGGGGGGGGGGGGGGGGGGGGGGGAAGGGAGGAAAAGGGAACAGTTTGCCTGCGTTTGGACACATTTCCCACCAGGAAGGTCCATGGTCAATCACGAGAACCTTAATGCAACAAATTACAATTTCTCAGCCCAACTTTGTCGCTAATTAAAGCGACATTGCTGTGCAAAACAGGCCATGATGAACCAATTACGTAGTTAAGGGTCAAAGGATCACTGACTAGACTTTTTGCAACCACATTCAGAACATTGCATGCCATACTGTCTCTGGCCACCAGGGGGAGAACTAGATGCATTGATCCTAATGAGCCTCAATTGTGTTCAGATTGTTCTATGTACAGCGTCCCCTCACTTATTGCTGGTGTTACATTCCAGGTCCACCTGAGAAAAATGAAAATCTCTGAAGTAGGGACTCTCTCTCTCTCTCTGTCTCTCTCTGTCTCTCTCTCTTTATATATATATATATCACTGGTGTTACGTTCCAGGACCACCCGCAAAAAGTAAAAATCCATGAAGTAGGGACGCTCTATCTATAGATAATCTATGTATGTATGTATAGAGCATCCCTACTTTGCAGATTTTCATAACACCAGTTATATATATATATATATATATATAAAAAAAGATATATATATATATATATGACATTCCAAAGGTGAGGCAGAAGCGAGGAGAGATTTAAAGGCACCATGCACCTTTTTTTGTTAGCTATAAGGAAGGGCTATAAGGCGGTGATCTGCTTTGTATCTCCTCTCTCTCTCTTTCATGATTGGCTGCTGCTCTCCCGAGGGGTGGAGGTGAAACCCTTTTCCACACTCCATCGTCGCCAGGAGGCAAAAACCCACAAAACAGCGAGTCTGCGAAAAGCAAACCACGAAGTAGCGAGGGAACACTGTATGTTTTTAAGATGATGCGAGCAGGGGCGGCTCAAGGCGGTACGCAAATTACGCTTTTGCGTAGAGCGTGCATCGGGGGGGGGCGCCCTTGAGTCGCCCCTGCCACAAGGCAGCTCGCTCTCCCTCCCTCCTTGTGTAAAGCCCTTCGACATGGCCCTTCTCAGTGGTGGCCCCTCGCCTGTGGAATTCACTCCCAGGGAAAATCAGGTCGTCAACATCCCCCCTCTCCTTTAGAAGGAAGCTGAAGACAATGGGACCAGGCATTTGGGTAATCTGGCAGATCAAAAAGGTAATGATGACTAGAGTTGGAAAGGACTATGGTAATGCTAAATGGATTGACGGATTTTAGAACTCGATGAACGCGGGCTATAGAGCGGTTTTAGTTGATTTTGTATTAATTGTATGTTTTTAACTATTGTGTTATTGTTATTGCATTTTATTGTAACTGTTGGCATCGAATTGTGCTGGATGTAAGCTGCCCTGAGTCCCCCCTCGGGGGTGAGAAGGGCGGGGTAGAAATGTCCGAAATAAATAAAATAAATAAATCTACAAGGAGCCCTTCCTCAAGCACCACCCATGGGTGTTGCAAGGGCTTGAGAGTGCATCCTGCACTCTGCGCATGCCAAGAGGATACCTTCCTTAAGGCTAATGCACACACTGCAGAGTCTGAGAGGGAAATCCCTGGATTTCACTCTGCACATGCCTAAGGGAGCCCTTCCTGATGGCTGACTCATGCATTGCAAAGGCTGAAGGGGAATGCCAAGCCCACCACTCTGTGCGTGCCCAGAGAGCCGTTGCCACTCACGATGAAGCTCCCGCTGACGTTGGGCTGGCCACTCCCTGCAAAGCCCTCCTCAGAGGCGATGAGCCGTGTGGCCTGTTCCCGACACTGCCCGGCGATGCCTGACCCGCTCATGTTGACGAGGGCGGAGGGGAAGTAGTTGGGGGGGCGCAGGGGGGCGGTGCAAGGGGAGCCGAAGACCGAATCCATGGGGAAGCTGCGGGAGAAACCCCTCGGCCAGCAGGGGTTGGCCAGCACCAGACGGAAGGAGGACGCCTGCAGAGAGCAGAGAGGGAGGAAGAAGGCTCATAAGGAGGAGGACAAGAGCAAATACACACAGCGACCTGCGAGTTGGCCCTCCTACACGCAGTCATGCTTCAACAAACTGCAAAGTCTTGGTCACTGTCAGCAGAGATTAAGTAGCACAGCCCCTGACCTTGTACAGTGGAAGAGAAGGAGAGTAGAAACACACACAACAGCCCTTCTTCTTCTTCCATCCAAAGTGGTTGATTCTTCAGTCGTTGCTACAAACATTCAAACAACTATTGACAGGCCTGATTTCAGTATATACACAGAGATAGACACTCACACACGAGTAGGCCAATAGGTTACAGATACAGAGATCATAGAATCATAGAATCAAAGAGTTGGAAGAGACCTCATGGGCCATCCAGTCCAACCCCCTGCCAAGAAGAATATTGCATTCAAATCACCCCTGACAGATGGCCATCCAGCCTCTGCTTAAAAGCTTCCAAAGAAGGAGCCTCCACCACACTCCAGGGCAGAGAGTTCCACTGCTGAACGGCTCTCACAGTTCAGGAAGTTCTTCCTCATGTTCAAATGGAATCTCCTTTCTTGTAGTTTGAAGCCATTGTTCCTTGTACTAATCTCCATGGAAGCAGTAAACAAGCTTCCTCCCTCCTCCCTGTGGCTTCCTCTCACATATTTATACATGGCTATCCTTCTCTTCTTTAGGTTAAACATGCCCAGCTCCTTAAGCCGCTCCTCATGGGGCTTGTTCTCCAGACCCTTGATCATTTTAGTTGCCCTCCTCTGGACACATTCCAGCTTGTCAATATCTCTCTTGAATTGTGGTGCCCAGAATTGGACACAATATTCCAGGTGTGGTCTAACCAAAGCAGAATAGAGGGGTAGCATGACTTCCCTAGATCTAGACACTAGGCTCCTATTGATGCAGGCCAAAATCCCATTGGCTTTTTTTGCCGCCACATCACATTGTTGGCTCATGTTTAACTTGTTGTCCACAAGGACTCCAAGATCTTTTTCACACGTACTGCTCTCGAGCCAGGCATTGTCCCCCATTGTGTATCTTTGCATTCCGTTTTGCCTGCCAAAGTGGAGTATCTTGCATTTGACCCTGTTGAACTTCATTTTGTTAGTTTTGGCCCATCTCTCTAATCTGTCAAGATCGTTTTGAATCCTGCTCCTGTCCTCTGGAGTATTGGCTATCCCTCCCAATTTGGTGTCGTCTGCAAACTTGATGATCATGCCTTCTAGCCCTTCATCTAAGTCATTAATAAAGAAGTTGAACAGGACCGGGCTCAGGACGGAACCCTGCTTGTGGCACTCCACTTGTCACTTCTTTCCAAGATGAAGAGGAAGCATTGGGGAGAATCACCCTCTGGGTTCGTCCATTTAATCAATTACTGATCCACCTCACCGTAGTTTTGCCTAGCCCACATTGGACTAGTTTCCTTGCCAGAAGGTCATGGGGGACCTTGTTGAAGGCCTTTCTGAAATCCAGGTACACCACATCCACGGCATTCCCCGCATCTACCCAGCTTGTAACTCTATCGAAAAAAGACATCAGATGAGTCTGGCATGACTTGTTTTTGATAAATCCATGTTGACTATTAGTGATGACCGCATTTGTTTCTAAGTTTTTGCAGACCACTTCCTTAACAATCTTTTCCAGAATCGTGCCTGGTATCGACGTGATTGTTTGGGTCATCCTTTTTTCCCTTCTTGAAGATTGGGACCACATTGGCCCTCCTCCAGTCTGCTGGAACTTCTCCCGTTCTCCAAGAACTCTCAAAGATGATTGCCAATGGTTCCGAAATGACTTCCGCTAGTTCCTTCAGTACTCTTGGGTGTAGTTGATCTGGCCCTGGGGACTTGAACTCATTAAGAGCAGCCAGGTATTCCTGGATGACTTGTTTCCCAATTTGGGGTTGGATGTCCTCCAATCCCTCATCCACTCCATCTTGCTGAGGTTGAAGATGACTTTCTTTTTGTGAGAAGACCGAGGCAAAGAAGGCGTTGAGTAGTTCTGCCTTTTCTCTACCCCTGTCAGCATTGCCCCAACTTCTCCTCGAAGAGGCCCTATCGCCTCCTTGTTTTTCCTTTTTTTACTGACATAAGAAAAGAAGCCTTTTTAATCGTTTTTAATGTCCCTGGCAAGCCTGAGCTCGTTTTGTGCTTTAGCCTTGCGGACCTTTTCCCTACAGGTGTTGGCTATTTGTTTGAATTCTTCTTTGGTGATTTCTCCCTTTTTCCACTTCTTGTGCATGTCTCTTTTGTGTTTTAGCACAGTAAGAAGTTCTTTGGACATCCATTCTGACTTCTTTGCACTTGTCCTATTATTTCTCTTTGTTGGCACAGTTTGCAATTGAGCCTTGAGTATTTCACTCTTGAGAAATTCCCATCCATCCGTAACTCCCTTGTATCTGCGTCCACGGAATGCTGCTCAGTGTTTCCTTCATTTTTAGGAAATCAGCTCTCCTAAAGTCCAAAATGTGGGTTTCACTTGTCTTAGTTTCGGCCTTCTTTTGTACCTCAAATTGCAGGAGCACATGGTCACTTGCCCCTAAGGATCCGACCACTTCAACTGCATCGATCAGGTCCTCCGCATTTGTTAGGATGAGATATGAGATCAAGAGTAGCCAACCCCTTGTTGTCTCTTCTGCCTTCTGGACCATGAAATTGTCTGCAAGGCAAGCGAGGAATTTGTTGGACCTTGTACTCTTGGCCGAGTTTGTTTTCCAGCAAATATCGGGATAGTTGAAATCGCCCATGACTACTACATCTCTTCTCTGTGCCTGTTTTGTCAACTGTTGGCAGAAGACTTCATCAAGTTCTTCCTCCTGGCTTGGAGGTCTGTAGCAGACTCCTACAACAAGATCTTTTTGTGTTCCAGTTCCCTTGATTCTTATCCAGATGCTTTCAAACTGGTTTCCCAGATTGCTCTCTTGCATCTCTTCTGCAGCATAACAGTTTTTGACATATAAGGCTACTCCGCCTCCTCTCCCCTTTGTTCGGTTTCTGTGAAAGAGGTTATAGCCCTCGATGTCTACATTTCAGCGATAGGAGTCATCCCACCAGGTTTCAGTGATGTCTATGATATCATATTTGTGGTGTTGTGCTAAAAGTTGGAGTTCGTCTTGTTTATATCCCATGCTCTGTGCATTAGTGTAAAGTCATGTGAGCCCCTGAGATCTTCCCCTGAGCTGTTTAATTGGGATTATTGTGCTTTTGGTACTTGGTCCTCGTGTTTGTGCAGCCCTCTGTTTAGCCTTCTGGCGGTTCCCTGACATTGTAGGTAAAGTAGTGTTCGCAAGGCTGTTGTCCCCCTCCCCCAGTGGACCTAGTTTAAAGTGCGCCTAATGAGGTTTGCGAGTCTGTGAGCAAAAAGGTGTTTTCCTACTTGTGTGAGATGCACACCATCCCTTGCCAGTAGGCCATCCTCCTGGAAAAGCAGGCCATGGTCGAGGAAGCCAAAGCATTCCTCCTGACACCATTTTCTAAGCCAGATCAAAGCTATCAAAGATGACAGAGTGCAAGTACAGGGCAGAGAGGATACACACACATAAGCAGCTCCCATTTTTCCCTCCAGAGGACAGGGGACCCTAGGATCCAAGAATACTGACCTTGAGGAGGTGGGCGAGGAGCCTCTTGAGGACCTGGTCACGGCCAAAGCAGAGGAAGCTGTGTGTGTAGACGCGAAATTGCTGGCCGTAGAGGTGGAGGGTCACCGCAGGAGCGCCCGGGTCTGCCATCTCAAAGGTGATCTGCGTGGAGGCCCCCCCCAGGTCCAGCGCCCCCGCCGTGCCCCGCTTCGGCCGCACCCACCGGCCCACCCAGTTGTACTGGGAAAGACAGGAAGGGAAACATTATCATCAACATCATTATTAGGAAACCCAACACTAAAATATTAGTATTTTAATTATTACCAAGCCCAACATTAAAATATTATTATGATGCAAAACACTATATTATTATTATTATTATTATTATTAAACACACATTTAATATTATTACTATTATTATTAAACCAAATACTAAAATATTATTATTGAATCCACACTAAAATATTATTATTATTATTATTCACTTCACTTTATTTCTTAATTAGTCACTCTCCACCAAGGTGTTCTGAGCGACTTACAATCTAAAATAGCATTTACACAATATAAAAAATATAAAAACATTCAACATAAAAACATTCAACAGTGACTATTTGGCAAATTAGATCTGATTACTTAAATGCACAACCAAACAGCCAAGTCTTGAGTGCCTTTACAAAAGGTCACAACTCCGACATTGCTCTAATGTATGGATGCAATGAGTTCCACAGAATTGGAGCATAGGTCGAAAAAGCTCTACGCCTTGTAGCTTCACAATAAAATATTATTATTAAGTCCAACACTAAATTATTATTATTATTATTATTATTATTATTATTATTATTATTATTAAACACACACTAAATATTATTACTATATATGGTGCCAGAATGCTGAGTCTCAACAATTATTATTATTAAACCAAATATTAAAATATTATTATTGAACCCACACTAAAATATTATTATTATTATGCCCAACACTATATTATTATTATTATTATTATTTATTATGTCCATCACTAAAATATTGTTCGTATTAGTAAACTCAACACTTTAATATTATTAAACACTCCGCTAAAATATTTTTGTTGTTGTTGTTGTTGTTGTTATTATTATTATTATTATTATTATGCCTCCTTCCAAGACAGACTGAATGAGGAATGGTGAGCATGAATGTTGAATGAATGTGAGGTGAATAACATGAGTGTATCTATGTGAGTCAGAGAGGGATGGCGAGTATGAATGTTGAATGTATGTGGAGTGAATGCGGAGTACATGTGATGTTTCCCCTTTGTGTGATTTTATGATTATTTTTTGTGAATATGTTTTCTGAATATATTTTTGAATAATTTTGTATTTCTACTAATATTCTTATGATTATTTTGTGAATTTTTTTCTGAATATTTCTGCAAATAATGTTATGAATATTTCTGTGAATAATTTTATGATTATTTTTCTACATATTTCTTTTGATTTTGTAAATATTTTTGTGAATATTTCTGGGAATATTTTTGTTAATAATTTCATGATTAAATTCATGGATATTTTTCTCAATATTTCTGCAAATAATGTTATGAATATTTCTGGGAATATTTTTATGATTATTTTTCTGAATATTTCTGTTAATATTCTTGTGAATATTTCTGGGAATATTTTTATGATTATTTTTCTGAATATTTGTTAATAATTTTGTGAATATTTTAAGGAGTATTTTAGGGAATATTTTTGTGAATATTTCTGTGAGTAATTTCATGATTATTTTGGTGAATATTTCTTGTGACTATTTTTCTGATTAAAGGTCACTTTTAAGATTCCAAAAAGATGCGTGGCGCTCTCCCTGTCTTGTGTGCTGACCTTGACGAAGTTCTCCATGAGGTAGTTGGCGGTGACCCAGCCGAAGAGGCCCTCCTCCTCCCCGCTCAGGATCCGGGCCCCGCGGAAGTCAAAGGGGGTCTCCCGCAGGGTGGCCGACACCGCCTCCAGGACGTGCTGCGTGGCCCCTGGGTCCGTCAGGCTGGGGAAAAAGGAAGGAATAATAATAATAATAATAGGAAGGAAGGAATTGAGGAAGGAAGCCCTGCGCGACACAGAACCCCGGAGCCTGGAACACTCATGGAACCAGGGACACTGGCTTGAGCAGCCACATGCCGATGGTGGGCCCAGCATGACACGGGAAACAAGGATAGCAATTTAAGACTTTCTTGTTTCCCGAGAGTTTTGGAATATTTAATAGTATAATAATGATAATAATAATAATAATTACTTTCTTGTTTCCCAAAGCTTTGGGGATATGTCATAATAATAATGATGATGATGATAATAATAATAATAATAATAATAATAATAATAGACACACTGGGTGCAGTGCCTAAGGACCTTGGTCTGCACTTAAACACAATCGGCGCTGACAAAATCATCACCTGTCAGCTGCAAAAGGCCACCCTACTTGGATCTGCACGCATTATTCGCAGTCCTAGACACTTGGGAAGGGTCCAACGTGTGATCCAATACAACAGCAAACAGTGACCTTGTTTGCTGTGGACTCGTCTTGTTGTGTTTCAAATAATAAAGATGATGATGATGATGATGATGATGATGATGATGATGATACCTCAATTTAAGACTTAAGAAAGTTTCCTAAGGCATTTGGAATATTTAATAATCATCATCATCATCGTTGTGATCGTCATCACGATATCTCAATTTAAAACCTCTGTTTTCCAAAGTTTTTAGAATATTTAATAATCATAGTCATAGTACCTCAGTTTTAAAAGTGCCTGTTTTCCAAAACTTTGGTGATATTTAATAATAATAATAATAATAATAATAATAATAATGATATCACAGTTTAAGACTTAAGAAAGTTTCCTAAGACTGGGTTGTTGTAGGTTTTTCGGGCTGTCTGGAACAGAAGCATTCTCTCCTGACGTTTCACCCACATTTATGGCAGGCATCCTCAGAGGTTGTGAGGTCTGTTGGAAACTAGGCTTATGTATCTGTGGAATGTCCAGGGTGGGAGAAAGAACTCTTGTCTGTTGGAGGCAGATGTGAATGTTTCAATTTGCCCCCTTGATTAGCATTTGATGGCCTAACAGTTTTTAGGTGTGGCTTGTTACTGCCTGAAACGTCAGGAGAGAATGCTTCTAGAACAAGGCCATACAATCTGAAAAACCTACAACAACCCAGTGAAAACCTTCAACAATACATTTTCCTAAGGCTTTTAGAATATCATGATACAGTCAGTGTTCCCTCGCTCCTTTGCGGTTTCCTTTTTGTGGACTCGCTGTTTCGAGTTTTTTGCCTCCAAATTTATGAATGGTTGTCGTTGCCCAGAATGGTGTTCTAATCCCGGCCCAAAGTTTAAGATCTTCTGGGGAAGCCCTGCTCTCGGCCCCGCCTCTGTCACAAACACACTTGGCAGGGATGAGGGAAAGGGCCTTCTCGGTGGTGGCCCTCCACCTGTGGAATTCGCTCCCCGGGGAAATTAGATCATCTTCATCCCTCTCCTCCTTCAGAAAGAAGTTGAAAACATGGATGTGGGACCAGGGTAATTATGCCGACAAGGACAATTACAATGATGACAATTGCTACGGTAATGGACTATGGACAAGCTTGATGGAGTTTTCGACCACAGAACTCGGCTAGATAAGGCATATTTAAGCATATTTTAATTGAATTAATGTTTTTAACTGTATATAATTATTGATTTTATTATGTATTTTATTATGTACATATTATATTAAGTTTATAAAGACTTAAAATAGTGCATAACTACTAAAATAATGTATAAATATTAAATACAGCGTACCTACTATACGGATTTTCACTTTTCGTGGGCGGTCCTGGAACGTAATACCCGCAATAAGTAAGGGAACACTGTATCTCAATTAAAAATCTGTTTCCCAAAGTTTTTAGAATATTTAATAATAATCATAGTATCAGAGGCGGCCCTAGGTAATTTTCAATGGTAAGCAAACAGTATTTTGCCCCCCCTCCCCCAACCAATCACTGATATATATTTTCTGTTCGTCGTGGCAGTTCTGTGTGCCATATTTGGTTCAATTCCATCATTGGTGGAGTTCAGAATGCTCTTTGATTGTAGGTGAACTATACATCCCAGTAACTACAACTTGCATATGTCAAGGTCTATTTTCCCCCAAGAGCGCCTCAAGAGTGCCCCTGGGCAAAATCAACTGTACTGCGAATGCTTACTTTGCGTATGGGTTGAGCCGCCCCTGCATAGTATCTCAGTTTAAAATGTGCTTGTTTTCCAAAGCTTTGGGGATAATGAATAACAATTATTATTATTATTATTATTATTATTATTATTATTATTTGGGGATATTGAATAATAATAAATATAATAATAGTAATAATTATTATTTGGGGATATTGAATAATAATAAATATAATAATAGTAGTAATAATAATAATTGATAAAAGGTAAAGGTAAAGGTAGTCCCCTGACATTAAGTCCAGTCATGTCTGACTCTGGGGTGTGGTGCTCATCTCCATTTCTAAGCCGAAGAGCCAGCATTGTTCATAGACACCTCCAAGGTCATGTGGCCGGCATGACTGCATGGAGCTGTAACCTTCCCGCTGGTACCTATTGATCTACTCACATTTGCATGTTTTCGAACTGCTAGGTTGGCAGAAGCTAGGGCTGACAGCGGAAGCTCACGCCGCTCCCCGGAATCGAACCTGCGACCTTTCGATCAACAAGCTCAGCAGCTCAGTGCTTTAACCCACTGCGCCACCGGGGGCTCCCAATAATTGATAATCTATCTCAATTTTCCAATCCTGGTGATGATGGGTAGAGGCACAGATGTGCCGCTTACTTGAGCAGCCGCATGCCGGCGGTGGCACCCAGGTGGAGCGGGGTGGCGGCGTGCCTCTCAGCGGGGACAGCGGCCTTGGCGTGGTCCAGGCAGGCCTTCAGGCTGGAACCGGCCGCTGGGGGGTCATGGGCGTAGCTGGAGATGCCTCCACCTGCAACGCAAAGAGTGCAATCAGCGGGATCGGGCGACCGGGGCCTGGGTCAAACCTGCCAAAGCTCAAGGTGCCAACCTAGGAAATTAGAACCTAGGAAATGGCATTACGGAGAACGAAGGAAGCCAAGGATTTGGCTCACTGTGGCGTGAAGAGCGCAAACAAGACATCCAGGATTGACCTGAGAACCTTCATTGTCAACGCCAGTTTAGGCATTCAAAACACAATGTCACCTTAAGAAGGAAGCTCAGCGCCCTCTCTGGTCCGGGATGTAGGAGGCTCCAGCAAAGCCCCAGCTGGATGAGCCCTCCCGACAGATGGCCGTCCAGCCTCATCTCATGAATATTTTCAGGCTCATGGAAAAAAAACGGGGCTGCAAGGCCACAGAATCCTAGACTTGGAAGGGACCTCTGAAGGTCATCCAGTTTGACCCAGAAGAGATAGATAGATAGATAGATAGATAGATAGATAGATAGATAGATAGGTAGATAGAAGGTCAAGGTCAAGGTTTCTCCTGACATTAAGTCTAGTTGAGTCCGACTCTGGAACTCTGGTGTTCTTCTCCATTTCTAAACTGAAGAGCCGGCATTGTCTGTAGATACCTGCAAGGCCATGTGACTTCATGGAGCGCCCTAACAGCGGGAGCTCACGCCGCTCCCCGGATTTGAACCTGCGGCCTTTTGATCAGCAAGTTCAGCAGCTCAGCCATTTAACCCTAAGGTTAAATAGGTTAGAGATAGGTATAGATGGATAGAAATAGATACACGACAGACATGTAGACAGATTCCTAGAGTTGGAAGGGGCTCCAATGGCCATCCAGGCCAGCCTTTAAGAGATAGATAGATAGATAGATAGATAGATAGATAGATAGATAGATAGATAGAATCCTAGTGTTCGAAGGGACTCCTAAAGGCCATCCAGTACAACCCCAGCCCCCCAGACACCATCTGATCCATCCTGACAGACGCCCATACAATCACAGACATAACTGAGATGTATGTATATAGATAGATAGATAGATAGATAGATAGATAGATAGATAGATAGATAGAATCCTAGTGTTCAAAGGGACTCCTAAAGGCCATCCAGTACAACCCCAGCCTCTCAGGCACCATCTGATCCATCCTGACAGACGCCCATACAGTCACAGACATAACTGAGATGTATGTATGTATGTATGTATGTATGTATGAACCGTAAATCCCAGCAACTATAGCTTCCAAATGTCAAGGTCTATTTTCACCAAACTATTTTCACCAAACCACCTCACCTGCTACAAAGCAAGAGCTTTTTTGTTGAGTTGAGTTCCAGGGCCAGAGAAGCAGATGGCGGAAACAGAAGAACGGACTGCCTCAGGGGAGCGTGTTTGCTCCATCCATGTTCAATATCTACACCAGGGGTCCTCAAACTAAGGCCCGGGGGCTGGATGCGGCCCTCCAAGGTCATTTACCCGGCCCTCGCTCAGGGTCAACCTAAGTCTGAAATGACTTGAAAGCACATAACAACAACAATCCTATCTCATCAGCCAAAAGCAGGCCCACATTTCCCATTGAAATGTACTAATAAGTTTATATTTGTTAACATTGTTCCTCATTTTAATTATTGTAGTGTTTTTAAGTGTTTATTACCCTACAAATAAGATATGTGCAGTGTGCATAGGAATTCATTCTTTTTATTTTCAAATTATAATCCGGCCCTCCAACAGTTTGAGGGACTGTGACCTGGCCCTCTGTTTAAAAAGTTTGAGGACCCCTGGTCTACACAAATGACCAGCCACTGCCAGAAGGGACAGAGAGTTTCATCTATGCAGATGAAGTTTCATCTATGCAAGTTTCATCTATGCAAACTCTATACAGAGAGTTTCATCTATGCAGATTACCGCCCAAGCAGGGAGCTTTGTGATGGTTGAACAGAAGCTCTCCGAAGCTCTAGGTGCTCTTACTGCCTATTACAGGGAAAACCAGCTGATCCCTAATCCATCTAAAACACAGACATGCGCCTTTCACCTTAAGAACAGACAAGCATCCCGAGCTCTGAGGATTACCTGGGAAGGAATCCCACTGGAGCATTGCAGCGCACCCAAATACCTGGGAGTCACTCTGGACCGTGCTCTGACCTACAAGAAGCACTGCCTGAACATCAAGCAAAAAGTGGGTGCTAGAAACAATATCATACGAAAGCTGACTGGCACAACCTGGGGGTCACAACCAGACACAGTGAAGACATCTGCCCTTGCGCTGTGCTACTCTGCTGCTGAGTATGCATGCCCAGTGTGGAACACATCTCACCACACTAAAACAGTGGATGTGGCTCTTAATGAGACATGCCGCATAATCACGGGGTGTCTGCGCCCTACACCACTGGAGAAATTACACTGCTTAGCCAGCACGTCAATGACTTAAATCTAGAAATAGTTTTCTAAGATCTACAGAGACCAGTAGCGTAGCCAGGATTTCGTTTCGAGGGGGGGGGGGGGGCTGAGTCTGAGTGAAAGAGGGTCTACGCTAGCAAACCTTTTGTATTGTTACCCCAATACCCCATGCATATGGGATATATTGAGTATGGTGATCAGATCATGATAGAATAAACATAACAGTTTAAATAATGCACCAGTAAGGCCTTTTCGCAAACCACCATGAGAATTTCGGGGGGGGGCTGAAGCCCCTCAAGCCCCCCCCCCCCCGGCTACAGGCCTGCCTAAGATCTACAGAGAAACTTGCTGGAACACCTCAGCAAGCGAGAGTCCAAAAGTGGCAGGCTCAAACCCAGAACCTCAACCAATGGCTGATACCAAATGAGAGACTCCCCCCTGGGCACACAGAAGACTGGGCGACTTGGAAGGCACTGAACAGACTGCGCTCTGGCACCACGAGATGCAGAGCCAACCTCAAGAAATGGGGCCACAAAGTGGAATCCTCGACATGCGAGTGTGGAGAAGAGCAAACCTGCTGCAATGCAATGCAACCTGAGCTCTGCCACATGTACAATGGAGGACCTTCTTGCAGCAACACCAGAGGCACTCCAAGTGGCCAGATACTGGTCAAAGGACATTTAATCAACTACCAAACTCACAAATTTTGTTTGCTTTGTTCTGTTAGAAATGTAATATAATTTGACTGGCTGTCCTGACACGACAAATAAAACCAAACTCCATTTTGGCCATATTGAGTATTCATGCCAATTTTATGGTTGAGGGTCACCACAACATGAGGGACTGTATTAAGGGGTCACAGCATTAGGAAGGTTGAGAACCACTGATATAGATAGATGACAGCTATATCATAGAATCCAGGAGCCCGCCCGCCTGGGGCATAGACTCCTCCTTTGGAGGCCTTTAAGCAGGGGCTGTGTGGATGGCCATCTGTCAGGAAGGCTTTCGTGGACTAAATGCCTGCCAGCCTGCTTTTATCTCTCCGCCACTCCCTTTATCTCCTTCCTTCCTTCCTTCCTTCCTTCCTTCCTTCCTTCCTTCCTTCCTTCCTTCCTTCCTTCCTTCCTTCCTTCCTCCCTCCTCCTTCTTTCCACCTTGAGGAAAAGCCAGTGCACCTGGCGCTTTTGTGTCTCTCTGCCCAACTGGCGCCAACCGGCCTCTCTTTCCAAAGCCCTGAATGGGCCTTTTGCCCCATTTAATCCAACAATCACAACAAGAAGGAGATTAAGAATAAAGGAGAAGAAGAAAGGGCGGCTGTGCCAACTCCAGAACTGGAAAATCCAGCATGGCAGAGCCAGGCCTTTGTCTCTGGGCAAAAGGGGTGTCGCAACAAAAGGAAGAAATACTCCAGGAACTCAATGATTACCTCTCCATCTCTCAATCAGAATGGCATTCGCATATCCAGATTTATTCATTCATTCACTTGTTTGTTTAAATATATTTGTTTATTGATCTTGCCACCTGGGAATATATACTAATTCAAAATTCACAATGGGAAAGATTTTCCAAACATAATTTTTCACATTTCAAAAAATAAGAAACTAAAATATTTTGTAATTTTAAAATTCAAAAAGAAAAATCATAATTCAATATATATACTGTGTGTATGTGTGTATTACACACAAATTAAAACTTGGAGTGAGCCTTTGAAGAGGAAATTTTCCAAACTCAACACTTTAAAAAAATAAAACAATATATTTTAAAGAGATTTTTTTCACAATTCAAAATAAAATATAATAATAATAATAATAATATTAAAAAATAAAACCTGAACTAAGCCTTTGACAAGAAAAAATTTCAAATTCAAATGTTTTTAAAAAGTACAATAAACTTTTTTTTTTAAAAAAGATTTTTTTTCACAATTAAAAAAGAAAGAAAATTATAAACATTATAAACAATTTTCAAAAACCCAAAACCCTAGAGGGATCCTTTGAAAAAGAGATTTTCCAAATTAATGTTTTTATTTTTTAAAAAATCATTTTTTTAAAGGGAATTTTTCAAAATTCACAAGTAATTTTTAAAAAATGAAAGCCTGGAAGATTTCTCCATTTAAATTGAGGTTTTCCAAACTCAAAAAGAAAGATTTTTTTAAAGGAAATTCTCGTCATTCACATAATTAAAAAAACAAACAAAAAACCTGGAGGATTTCTCCTTTGAAAAAGATGTTTTCTAAATTCAAGAATATATTTAAAACAAATTATTATTATTAATAATAATATTTTTAAAAACCACTCAAAGAGATCCTTCAAAAATGGCATTTTTTGCAATCTCTAAATGAATAAATAATAAATAATAATCTTAAAATGTTTCCTTCCCCAAATGTGTAGCGTTACCTGAAATCTCTTCCTCCTCCTCCTCCTCTTCTTCTTTTTCTTCTTATGTTTACTTATTTAGATCCCACTTTTTCTCTCCATAAGGAGACACAAAGCAGCTATGTATTAGAATATATTATTATTATTTTTGTATATTATACATTATATATTATAATTCTATTATAATTATGTTATTATTATTATTATTATTACATTTATTTACACTCTGTTTTTCTCTCCAGAAGGAGACTCGAAGTGGAATAGATAATATGTATCTATTATTAGTATTAAATGTATTGTATATATACATTGTATTATATATTATTATATATTATGATATTATATATTATACTATATATTGTTATTATTATTTATTATTAATATATATTATATAGTAGTAGTATTTATTATTATTATATATTTATTTATACCCTGCTTTTTTCCATTAGAAGACTCAAAGCTTTTTCTTTCCATAAGGAGACTATAAATCCATTATTAGTATTAAAAGGTATTATTATTATTATTAATTATATCTGTATATGTATATGTGTGTGTGTGTATACACACACACACACACACACACACACACACACACACACACATATATATATATATATATATATATATATATATATAATTACATATATAATTACGGTAGTCCACGGTAGTCCACGGTCTGGTTACATCCGAAATAGACTACTGCAATGCTCTATGTGGGGTTGTCTCTGAAGACTGCCCAGAAGCTCCAGCTAGTCCAACACTCGGCAGCCAGGTTGCTCATTGGAGCGGGGTATGGGGAGCGTACTACTCCCTTGCTATGCCAGTTCCATTGGCTGCCAATTAGCTTCCAAGCACAATTCAAAGTGCTGGTCTTAACCTATAAAGCCCTATACGGTTCCGGCCCAGATTACCTGTCTGAACGTATGTCTCGTTATGAACCATCTAGGAACTTAAGATCGTCTGGGGAGGCCCTGCTCTCGTTCCCGCCGGCATCACAAACGCGTCTGACGGGGACGAGAGACAGGGCCTTCTCAGTGGTGGCCCCCGGCTATGGAACTCCCCCCAGGGACATTAGATCGGCCCCCTCCCTCCTGACTTTCCAGAAAAATGTAAAAACCTGGCTCTTTGAACAAGCCTTCGGAAATGCACTACAAGAGACAAACACGGAATTACATAAGTTGAAACATAGAACGACTTAGACGAGATTAACAGGAAGACATTGGTTATTATAGGCTTTAATGGTTTTCTATTGATTTTATAATGTTGTTTTTAAATGTTTTAATTGTATACGGTGGATTGTTATGGCATCAAATGGCTGCCAATTTGTAAGCTGCCTTGAGTTACCTTTGGGCTTGAGAAAGGCGGGATAGAAATATGGTAAATAAATATATCTATATATCTGTCTATCTATCTAAATAAATAAAAAAGTAATGTTTGTTTGTGGGATTAACATAACTCAAAAACCACTGGATGAATTGACATCAGATTTGGACACAATACACCTATCAGGCCAACGAGTGACCATCACTCATAAAAACACTGAAAAGGGGATTTAAAAAGCCAAAAAACAAAAATACATTACAACACATGTGGAAAACCACACATATATACACGAACACACATATATACATATACACTATTATATACATACACAAAACACATATACACAGACTGGGCCATAGCAACGCATGGCAGGGGATGGCTAGCATATAATAAAAGTGAATGTTTGTATGTATGTGGGTATGTTTGTATGTAGAAGCTTTCTGATTGGTTCCCACCTTCACAGGCCACTGCAACCCGCACGAATGATGGACCAAACCTGGCACACATAACCCCCATGATGTTATGTCCTGGGGCAGTTTGGGGAGGATGAACTATGGATGATGGGAGATGCAGTACCTTTGCTCACTTCCTGAGACCACTGCAACCCACACCAATGACCAATAAAGACCAGACTTGGCACACAGAGCCCACATGACCCACAAAACATCCTGGTGCAGTATGGGGGAGGACGGACCATGGATGATGGGACTTGCAGAACCTTCACTCATTTCTTCAGACCACTGCGGATCTCAACAATGACCGATAAATATAAAATTTGCCACACAGAGCCCACATGACCCACTCTACATCCTGGTGCAGTTAGGAGAAGGATGGACCATGGATGATGGGACTTGAAGTACCTTCACTTATTTCCTGAAACCACTATGACCCTCAACAATTCACTCTGGAATACTCTGCCACCTGAAGTTCGTGCCTTGCGGGACTTATCAGCTTTCCGCAGGGCATGTAAGACATATCTGTTTCGACGGGCCTTTGATTTTTGATATTGCTGTTTTTAAATTGTTTTAAATTGTTTTTAAATTGTGTTAGATTTTAGCCTCTTCTTGTAAGCCGCTCCGAGCCCCAGGGGAGTGGCGGCATATAAGTTCGAATAATAAATAAATAAATAAATAAATAAACAATGATTGATAAATATCAGACTTGGCACACAGACCCCCCCCCCCATGGCCTACTTTACAACCTGGTGCAGTTTGGGGCAAGCTGGACCACGAATGATGGGATTTATAGTACCTTCACCCAGATCACTTCCCACAGAACACTGTGACCCACTCTACACCCTGGTGTAATTTGGAGGAAGACGGACCACGGATGACCCACTCTACATCCTGGTAAGGTTTCTGGGATGATAGACTATGGATGATGGGACTTCCAGTACCTTTACTCACTTCCTGAAACCACTGCAAACCACATCAATGACTATCAAAACCAAACTTGGCACCCAGAGCCCCCATAACCCACTCTACATCCTGGCGCAGTTTGGAGGAGGATGGACTATGGATGATGGGACTTGCAGATGGGAGTTGTAGTTCACCGGCTCCCACTGAACCCAGCTGACATTGGATCTAGACTAATCTTGGAGCACGGACAAACAATGCTTTTCTCAAATAACCCAGGCACCACTGGGTCCCCAAGCTAGTAATAAATAAATATGACTATGATTATGATTACTATCACTACTGTTTATTTACAGGGCCCCTCCGCTGGCGCAGTGGGTTGAACCACTGAGCTGTTGAACTTGCTGACCAAAAGGTTGCCGGTTTGAATCTGGGGAGTGGGGTGAGCTCCCACTGTTAGCCCCAGCTTCTGCCAACCTAGCGAACAAAAGCATGCAAATATGAGCAGATCAATAGGTGGGAAGGTAAGGGCACTTCTAATCACTCATGCTGGCCAGATGACCTTGGAGGTGTCTACAGACAATGCCAGCTCTTTGGCTTAGAAATGGAGATGAGCCCAAGAGTCAGGCATGACTGGACTTCACGTCAAGGGGAAACTATGCTTACTTACGTTTACTTATACCCCTCCTTTTCTCTCCACAAGGAGACTCAAAGCAGAGAACACCAAAAGCGTTACAATACAATTAAAAATAATATACTACTAAAATGATTTCAAATGACCACTAAAACAGTATAAAACACCATAATGAAAGTATGAAAACTACCGAGATGACCTGCTGACCTTCCACGTCGCACATGCTGTGCTGGGTGACGATGCCAGTCTCATTCTCCTTATCGGCCGGCCATTGGTAGACGAAGAGAGCCGTGTGCGAGGAGCCCGCATCCAGGACGATCCCGTACTGCCAGGGAGAAAGACAGGCACACAACACAGGGAGGAAGCACTGAAGGCTGGGCCACTGGCTTTGGCTTCACAATATTATTTACTAATAGATAAATCGATAGGAAGATGGAACCATGGAGCCATGGATACATAGAAAAGCAGATAGATGGGCAGGCGGGCAGGCAGACAGAAGATGAATGGATAGATAGATGGAATAATAGAGATAGATAGAATGATAGATAGATAGATAGATAGATAGATAGATAGATAGATAGAGATGGAATGATAATAGATGGATAGATAGATAGATAGATAGATAGATAGATAGATAGATAGATAGATAGACAGACAGACAGACAGACAGACAGACAGACAGGATGGATGGAGGGAGGGATGGGATGGGATGGGATGGGATGGGATGGAATGATAGATAGATAGCGATAGATGGAATGATGATAGATAGATAGATAGATAGATAGATAGATAGATAGATAGATAGGATAGATAGAGGGATGGGATGGGATGGGATGATAGATAAATAGATAGATAGATAGATAGATAGATAGACCGACAGAAAGATGGATGGATAGATAGATGGGATGATAGAAAGAAAGAAAGCAAGCAAGAAAGAAAGATAGAACGAAAGATAGGTAGAATGAATAGATAGATAGATAGATAGATAGATAGATAGATAGATAGATATATAGATAGAGATAGATAAATAGAGATAGATGGAATGATGATAGATAGATAGATAGATAGATAGATAGATAGATAGATAGATAGATAGATAGATAGATAGATGGATGGATATGGATAGATAGATAAATAGAATGAGAGATAGAAATATAGATCTATAACCTAAAAGTGAAAATATGTATGTGTGTATGCGGCTGGGGTGTCCATTTACACAGACAGGCTCCTGCCTCCACAAACAGCTATAGCTCCCCTCCTATGAGGAGCCACCTAAAGCCCTCCCTCCCATGACATTGCAGGTTATAGTGAGCGCCACCAACATGTCCCTGAGCCCTACCAGCGTCCTCCACAAACATACACTGCCCGACACCCAAGTGAAGGCTTTCAGAAGGGGACCATTTCACCCTAGATTTCATGTGTTTTCTCCACCACAGGCATCCCAGTGTTTCTGACTCTCTCCGTTGGTTTGGAATTTGCATGATCCCGCCCACTGCCTCTTCCTTAACCCTTCTATATCGATAGAAATAGAAAGATAGATAAATGGATAGGTAGATGCAATGATAGATTGAGATATAGATAAATAAATAGATAAATAAATAGATACAGAGCTGCTGCTGCTGCTGTTATAGATACATAGATATTATTATTATTATTATTATTATTATTATTATTATTATTATTATTATTATCATCATCATCACTTGATACACAACAAGATGAGTCCACTGCTGGCTGCTGTATTGGATCATACGTCGGACACTTCCCAAGTGTCTAGGACTGTGTGATGTATCGGCGATTAATGTGTGCAGATGCAAGTCATAGAATCCTATACTCCTACAGTCCAACCCTCTTCTGCCAAGAAGCAGAAAAATCGCATTCAAACCACCCCTGACAGATGGCCATCCAGCCTATATTTAAAAGCCTCCAAAGAAGGAGCCTCCACCACACTCCGTCAGAGAGCTCCACTGCTCTCACAGGAAGTTCTTCCTAACGTTCAGATGGAATCTCCTTTCTTGTAGTTTGACACCAGCAGGAAACAAGCCTGCTCCCTCCTCCTTATGACTTCCTCTCACATATTTATACGTACATGGCCCTTGTCATGTCTCTTCTCAGCCTTCTCTTTATCAGGCTAAACATGCCCAGCTCTTTCAGCCGCTCCTCATAGGGCTTGTTCTCCAGATCGTTGATCCTTTGAGTCGCCCTCTGCTGGACACATTTCAGCTTGTCAATATATCTCTTCAGTTGCGGTGCCCAGAATTGGACACAGTATTCCATGTGTGGTCTAAATAGAGCATGGGGAGCATTACTTCCCTGGATCTAGGCAATAGACTCCTATTTATTTATGTTGATTGGCCTTTTGCAGCTAGGAGATGGTAGTTTTGTCAGAGCCGGTTGTATTTAGGTGCAGGCCAAGGTCTTTAAGCACTGCACCCAGTGTGCTGATTATTATTATTATTATTATTATTATTATTATTATTATTATTATACTATTAAATATTCCAAAAGGGGGTGCCAGTGGTGATTGGTAAACTGGGTGCAGTCCCTAAAGAACTGGGTACAGTTCGATCTTATCATCATCATCATCATCATCATCATCATCATCATTTGTATCCTACTTTATCTATGCCAATGCAAAAGCTGAGGTCCAAACAAGGACAAGAGAACTCAATAACATCTGGTGGACAAAGAAGGCTGAAGAAACTCAACACCTAGCAGATACCCATGATGCTCAGGGATTTTTCAAAGCCACAAAGGTCATCTATGGACCAAGAAACCATGGCATACAGCCTCTACACTCATCAGATGGAACCATATTTCTGAAGGACCAAAAATCAATTGCACTACATTGGAACGAACACTACCAAAGCCTCTTGAATCGCAGCTCCAATGTGGCCGAAGAGGTTCTCTAACAAATCCGCAACAACAAACCAGGGATGAGTTTGCAGCACTGCCTAGCATGGAAGAAGTCAACAATGCCATTAGCCAAAAAACAAAAACAAAAACAAAAACAAACAAAGCCAGCAGACCTGATGGGATCCCTGATGAAAGAGGGAGGACCTGAGCTGACACACCAACTCCACCAGCTAATAGAAAAAGTGTGGGTGACCGAGAAAATCCCAGCAGATTTCAAGGATGCCACCATCATCACCCTCTTCAAAAAAGGGGAAAGAACAGACTGCAGAAACTATCGAGGTATCTCCCTCCTAACCTCAGCTGGGAAAATCCTCGCAGTCTTGGACAGCAATGACTCCCAAAGCGACCCATTTAAGGTGGAATCAGGTGTCAAACAGGGATGTGTTATTGCCCCAACCTTATTTTCCATCTTCATTGCTATGATACTTCATCTTGTTGATGGAAAGCTTCCCAGCGCAGTGGAAATCATCTATCGGACAGATGGCAAGCTGTTCAACCTCAGCAGACTGAAAGCCAAAACCAAGGTTACAACAACATCTCTTATAGAACTCCAGTATGCTGATGACAACGTCATCTGTGCGCATTCAGAAGAAGACCTACTCTAAACACTTTTGCAGAAACATACAAGAAGCTTGGCCTGTCATTAAACATCGAGAAAACCAAAGTGCTCTTCCAGCAGTCACCGGCCAATCCCTCTCCAATGCCAGAAATATAGCTTAATGGTGTAACATTAGAAAATGTTGACCATTTCTGCTCCCTTGGCAGCCACCTCTCCACAAAAGTCAACATTGACACTGAAATTCAACACCGCCTGAGCTCTGCGAGTGCAGCCTTTTTCCAAATGAAGCAGAGAGTGTTTGAGGACTGGGACATCCGTAGGGAGACCAAGGGGTTGTTTATAAAGTTATTGTCCTCCCAACCCTGCTATACATCTGCGAGACATGGACAGTCTACAGATATCACATGCAACTCCTGGAATGATTCCATTAGCGCTGCCTCTAAAAAATCCTGCAAATCTCTTGGGAAGACAGGCGGACAAATGTCAGCGTGCTGGAAGAAGCAAAGACCACCAGCATTGAAGCGATGGTCCTCCGCCATCAACTCCGCTGGACTGGCCATGTTGTCCGGATGCCCTACCACCGTCTCCCAAAGCAGTTGCTCTATTCCAAACTCAAGAACAGAAAACAGAACATTGGAGGACAGGAAAAGAGATTGAAAGATGGGCTCAAAGCCAACCTTAAAAACTCTGGCATAGACACTGAGAACTGGGAAGCCCTGGCCCTTGAGCACTCCAGTTGGAGGTCAGCTGTGACCAGCAGTGCTGCATAATTTGAAGAGGCACGAATGGAGGGCGAAAGAGAGAAACGTGCCAAGAGAAAGGTGCGTCAAGCCAACCCCAAGTGGGACCGCCTTCCACCTGGAAACCGATGCCCTCACTGTGGGAGAAGATGCAGATCAAGAATAAGGCTCCAGTCACCTACGGACCCACTGCCAGGACACTACACTTGGAGGACTACAAGGGATCGTCTAAGTAACTAACTAACTTTATCTCTCTAAAAAGAGACTAGATAGATGCAAATGATAGATAAATTTGCAACCATTTGCAGCCACTGAATTAAACTCAAGATGTGGTTCATCATCTGCACTTTACATCAGACTCTCTGTGTGTCTATGTCTGTCTATGATTTTAAAATCACTGTTCCTTTGTTCCATATTCATCACGTTTCCTGCTGTGTTTCAAATGGCGGGGGTGCAGGGGCTGAGTGCGAGAGCCGGGAGGAATCCCAAAGGCCATCTGGTCCAGTGGCATTTGCTGCTATTGCAGGAAGGAAGGCGTGGCAAAAGCATTCCTGGCAGATGGCTATGCTGCTGCAGGAAGGCTTCTGACGTTCTATCTATCTATCGATCTATCGATCTATCATTCTACCTATCTTTCGTTCTATCTTTCTTTTTTGCTTGCTTTCTTTCTTTCTTTCTATCATCCCATCTATCTATCCATCCATCTTTCTGTCGGTGTATCTATCTATCTTCTGTCTGTCCGTCTGTCCATCCGTCCATCCATCTTTCTGTCTGTCTGTCCGTCCGTCCGTGCATCCATCCATCCATCCATCTTTCTTTCTTTCACTCCATCTATCTATCGATTATCTATCTATCTATCTATTTACCATCCCATCTATCTATCCATCCACCTTTCTGTCTGTGTATTTGTGTATTTGTGTATCTGTGTATCTGTGTATCTATGTATCTATCTATCTATCTATCTATCTATCTATCTATCTATCTATCTATCTATCTATCTACCTACCTACCTACCTACCTACCTACCTCTGACGGACCTTCGATGGAAATAAAGCCCAGAGAGGCATCTGTTGGGCCTTTTCCAAGCGCTCCCGTCCTTCTGACCATCTA